ACTTTTTATGACCTCATCAATTTTGGTAGGTTTTATATGTCCAGAAAATTTGCCATTTCTTCTAACTTTTCCAATTTAGTTTCACATTTAGTTGTCAATAAAATTCCTAGTAATTCTCTAGTATTTCTGTATTATTTGTTACAATCTCTCCCTTTTCAACTGTGGCTTTATTTATTTAGATTTACCTCTTTTTTTCCATTAGTCCAGTTAAAAGTGTGTTGTTTTTATTTATCTTTCAAAAAATCAATTGTTTCATTTATAGTTTATACTTTTTAAGTCTCCATTTATTTTTGTTCTAATCTTTATTTCATTTCATCTACTTATTTTGTGTTTGTTTCTTCTTGCCTTTCTAAATCCTTGAGATTCATCATTGGTTAATTTGAAATTTATTTTTAAAAATATAGGCACTTATTGCCAAAAAATTCCCTCGCAATACTGCTTTTATTGTGTCTCATAAGTTCTTACATGTGTTTCCATTTTCATTTGTTTTGACATTTTTTAATTTCCCATTTGATTTCATTGTTCTATTGTTTGTTCAAAATGTGTTGTTCAGTCTTCATGTATCATAATTGCTAAAATTTTCTTTAGTTATTTACTTCCATTATGATTAGAAAAGATACAAGATATTTCAATTTTTTGATTTTGCTAAGCCTTGTTTTGTGGACAATATAGTCTATTCTAGAGAAAGTTAATGCATTAATGAAAAGAATGTATATTGTGCAGCTGTTGGATGGAATGTTCTGTAAATATCTGTCAAATTCATTGAATCTATAAAAAAGTTTGTTTCATTGATTTTTTTTTTCTTTTTTGTCAGAATGACCCATCCACTGATAAAGAATAGGGTATTGAGGTCTCCTGCTATTACTGAATTGGAATCCATCTTTCCCTTTAGATCTAATAGTGTTTGTTTACAAATCGGGTTCTCCAACATTAGGTGCATGTAGATTTACAATCATCTGTTTGTTGAATTGATTCCTTAATCTTTACATAGTGAATTTCTTTGTCTCTTCTTAATAGTTTTTGTCTTAAAGTCTACTTTGTGCGATATAGCTACTTGTGCTTTAGATTTCCATTTGTTTGGAATATAATTTCCCTTCCTTTCCATTTCTTTTTCTTTTTTTTTTTTTTTTTGTACCAGGGATTGAACTCGGGTCCTTAGCTTGCGAGGCAGGCGGTGGAACAATTGAGCTAAATCCCCAGCCCTCCTTTCCATTTCTGTCTATATGTGTCTTTACTGGTGAGATGACTTTCTTGTAGGCAGCATATTTTGGGGTTTTCTTTTTCTTTTTTTAAACCCATTTAGCCAGTCTGTATACTCTTTTTTTTTTTTCTTTTTGGTACTGGGGATCAAACTTGGGACCTTGTGCTTGCAAGGCAGCCAGCGGAACCACTGAGCTAAATCCCTGGCCTGTATACTTTAATTGTAGAATTTAGTGTGTTTGCTTTCAAGGTTTTTGTTGATAGTAAGGTCTGACTGCTGCCATTTTTTTTTTTTTTTTTTTTTTTTTTTGGTACTGGAGATTGAACTCTGGACCTTCTGTTTGTGAGGCAGACAGCGGAACCACTGAGCTAAATCCCCAGCCTGACTGCTGCCATTTTTTTTTTCTCTAGTTTTGAGTGTTGTTTCTTCACTCTTCTTCATCTTTGTGGTTTGATGGTTTACTGTATTAATGGTTGATTCTTTTCCATTTATGATTTGTATATTCTATAGTGATTCATACATTTACGTATTTGCATAATCTTTCTTTTGCTTCTGGATGTAGGACTCCCTTAAAATCTTTTTGTAAGGTTAGTGTGGCAGTCTTGAATTCTGTTTTTGTTTGTCTTGGAAGGAATTTACATTTCCATTTTTGAAAGATAGCTTTCTTGTTTCTTGGGTATAGTTTCTTGTTGCTTAAGTGCCTTCCTTCAGTATTTTGTTTCAGGATATGGATTATGTAATGCCTTTCCCTTCTGTGTAGTGTTTCTGCAAGAAACATGCATAGTCTCAGGGTAATTTGGTGGTTTTCTCTTGCAGATTTTAGAGTTTTTTCTCCTTTGTCTTGTACTTTTGACAGTTTGATTATAATATGCCACGGTCAAGGTCTTTTCTGGTCATGTTTACCTGAGGCCCTTCAAGGCTCCTGTACATGAATGACACATATGTCTCAAGATTAGAGAAGTTTTCTGATATTATTTAATTAAATAGTTTTCTTTATGCCATTAAACTTTTCCCTCACAATGGAGTGTTCCAGAAATGTAACTATTTAGTCATTTAAGGTGTCTGACTGGAATTTCAAAAGACTTGTCTTCAATTTCAAATATTCTTTCTTCTACCTGACTTAGTCTGTTGAGGCTTTCAACAGCTTCATTTCCATGATTTTTGTTTCTTTTTCAAAATTTGTATTTCTTTGGTTAATTTCTCATTCATATCCTGCATTATCTTCTTAATTTACTTAACTGTTTACTTTTTTTTTTCAATCTCAGTGAGTTTTAAAAATAATTATTCTCTTAGATTTTTTATCAGGCATTTCATTCATATTGATTTCTTGGGGATCTCTTGCTAGAGAGTATGTTCTCTTGGAGGCATCACATTATTTTGTTTTGTATTTCTTGTGTTTCTACATTGATTTTTGTGTCTGGTAGATCAAATATCCCTATGAGGTAGCCTCAATAAGTGACCTTCTTCTGAAAAAATGTCTTGAGGTGTTGCTTTATTATGTAATGTTGGCTTTATTTCCAGCTCAAAGCCATAATGTATTTTCTCTATAGCTTCTTGGACTGTGGTCAGTGACTTTGGGCACACTGTATACCATGGTAGTATCTAAGAGAGACCCATGGTCTCTGGGGCCATGGAAGAGAAGGACATTCTAGAAGTTGAAGCACATGTGGTGCAGACGGCAGGGGCTATAGGGGAGCTCTTATTCCTATACTACACTCCTATAAGTGCTTATCCCTATTGGGCAGTGGGAATTTCCTCAGGCAATGTTGATGCTAGACCTGCTACTGTCAAGAGCTTCTTGCATTATGGCCCTAACAGTGATGAGGGACCTGAACCATGTGTCCTCTGACTAGTTAGTGTTGCAGGTCCAGATGCTACATGGGGAGAGAGGGTGTGACAGGAATCAGAGCACCCACTCTGTGGCTCATACCAACTTCTGATAGCAGTGTATGGTCTGAGGCCTGGGGATGGGGCAGTGGGGATTGCATAGATAGGATGTCAGGGGGGAACCAAGGTGTTCCTCTTTGCCTTTGGGAGTTCATGCCCAGGGGTGGGACTTCAGCTGGCAAAGGAGTTTCCCTCAGCCCTTTTTGATCATTGTATGGCCAGGGATTGGGCAACATCCCCTCCATCCCCCATCAACACTCCTTCAGCTATAGTGTGTAGCCAGTGGCAAGTCAGCAGCTGGAGCCATGGAGTGTCTCAAGGGCTTATCATGCCCCATGTTGATGGGGCAGCAAGAACCATGGTGTTCTCTTCCCACCCTGAGGGACCTGAATTATGCATGGTGGGAGGGGAGGTGGGACCTGTATGGTCTCCTGCCTTCATTGTGGGCATTGCATGAATCCAGACAGATAAAGACACTCCAGGTCTCTGGAGGAGAACACCCCATTTTCCTGGTTCTTGAGAGCAGCGCCTTCCTTTTCTGTGTTGCAATACCCATTACCTGTACTCCAGGGCACTCGGTGGACTTGGGTCACATCACTCTGCTCACCCAAGTTAGGTTTGAGAGGGAGCTACCCACCAAGCCAGTACAGTGGAATGTCTGTGGAGTCCCTGGATAGAAACACGTACAAGTTTCTGACTCCTACAGTAGTCTAACCTCAGGCAGTAGCTTATTTCTCAAGAAGGCTCCTAATTGGGGGGCTCCTGAGGCAGAGATGATTTGAAATTCTCTTCCAAAGCAGGTTACTGTTCGGATTTCAAGTCATTTATCTAAGTGGCTACAAGCCTGTGAGGACATGAAACTTTGCAGTACCTAAGAATGCCAGAATCTACATTGGTAGAATTTCCTGGGACTCTTTCACTCATACTTTTGCAAACTGGAGACTCTCCCTCCCCTGGCTGTGAAGCTGAAGTGGTAAATGGGGTGGTAGGTTACTGGGCATTTTATTTTTTCATGTTGTTGTCCTATATTTCTGAATGTTAAAATGTTCTAGTTTCTCTTTCTGATTTCCAGTGTTCACCCATACTCACTCACCTCAAAGTGCAGCCGTACACCTGTTACTTTGGTTCTTTGTGTTGGAGTGAGTGTTCGGTGCCTCTGTGACCTTGGATCTCCCCATTGGAATGTTCATTATTTTTCTTTAGAGTGCAGTGTACAGGTAGTTACTGAATCAATACTGATTTAAAACTGTTCTGCCAAAAGTAGGAACTGATATGAATAGTGGAGCATATTAACATAGATAAAGCTGGACCTTGAGTTCTCAGTCACTTAACTGGCAGTGTGGCTTTCAGTAAGCCACAACATTGCTAAGCTTCAGTTTTTTAATCTGTAAAACAGGGATAATAGTTCCTGAATCAAAATGGAAGTGGGAGGTTGATATAAAAGCTCTGAAAATAAATAAAACAAGGCTCCTGAGTTTCATTTGATCACATCTAAGTTTCAGCATTCAGCATATTATCAATGTGCTTTCAGGTTAGCCTTTTGTGTCTCTGATTGCATGTATCACTCATGAACAGCTAAATAAAGAAAGTCTGAGCCACCCACCCACAAAGATTGCCATGAAATAAAGCCTCCTCTGGAGCATCCAATATCTCAAACAGGGCCTTGCCTGAGGTTAAGTCAGGATTCTTCAGGTAATTATGCACTGCCACAATGTACAGGTACCCTAGAGGGGCTCGTGTGGAAGTCATTGCTTCTTTGCTAGGAATTAAATCCATGCTCTAAATCACAAACACATCACTTGGAGATGCTAAAATACAGATTTTGATTTAGTACTCTGGAGTGCAGTCTGAAATTCTGCATTTGTAGAATGTATTTGGTGCAATATTTTGATTTCACTCTCAAGACTTGATAAACACAGTGAAAGTGTTTATAAATTCTAGGATATATAGAAAACAAGAGGCATAGTTGGAAAATTATTTACATTTAGACTCACATTAAAATCTTTTTCGGATACAATGGCTAAGATGAAATATACAAAGCTAATATAAACACATATACATTATTCTGTATGGGAACCAAATTCTAGAGATGAATGTAGGTGAACTCAGGTTTTCCTTCCCCAAACTAATGTCCCCTTAAATCATGCTGTGATAATGTCTCCCCAAGTAAGAACAAATTTAACTTGTATCATTCAAAAAGGTAAAAAACAAAAAAGCTAACTTTGATGTTATCAAACAATTATCCCTAGGGCACAAAATAAAAATTATTTTTCAGTGCTGAAATGTTCAAATAGGCCCAAACAGGATATATTTTAAATATGAATGCTTTGGTTGTTAGGCTTTGATTTGGTTTTTAGCATTGCTTGTATAATTACATCATTCCAATCAGTCATTCATTACAGGTAATCCATTCAAAACATGGTTGCTTCATACTACAGTATTACAAAGCACTTAGACCTGTCTTGATTGGGAATACCCGACGATAGCAGTGTATTTCTTTTTCTTCACAAAGCAAAATAAAAAGAGAAATTCAAATTACAAATTCATTTTTCACATGTTAAAAAGCCAAAGTCTGACATAAAGCCTTATTCATTTCTTAAAACAAAACGGTTCCTCAAAATAATTCCTGCCCTGGGCATTGGCGCATTTTTGATATACTAGACTTGTAAGAACTCTTCCTATACCCTGAAAGCCCATGACTTCACGATCTATTTATGTAAAATATGCTGCTGGTTGAATATATAACAGTGTATTGAAGCTCTTGGGAAGGGTTCATATTTAAAACAGTTTTCAAGGTCTGGATTTAATAAGAGTTTTAGAAAAATAAATAAAACAAAATACTGTGGTTGGTTCTACCCTTCCTACTTCTCTCCCTTCACAAACTTGAGCTTAAGAGCCCAGACTTTTAAAAAGTGGAAGAAAGTAAAATAGGATAATGGAGGTTTTATCATCCATATTTTCCTCTTCTTGTGTAATATATTATTTCTAAGGTAAATTTGATTTTTTCCTTTAAATGAAGATCTGATCTTACAGGAAAATCTTAAGCTTATTTTAATCTAATAGTAATTATTTAACAAACAGTTCTTTTAATAAAAAATCTGAATTCCTATAAAATATATAACTTGAAGAGTGCCATTTAAGTCTGAAAGCAAAATCTAAACATAATTTAATATCTTCAAAGTATCTTAAAAGCCATAGCTATATTATAAATGGGCAGTTAAACTCCCACTCTAAACTCTCAAAAATAAACTGTTGCACAAATATATAAATTTAAGCTATGTCTGATACTTCTCATGTTGATTTTCTGCCCCCAATTTGTTCATAGGTAAAAGCAACAAACTACCTATTGGCTAAGTTAACTTTCATTTGAGTAGTACTTTAATTTTGGATAAACATAATCTAAATGTCTAGAACTTTCCAAAAAGTCATACTTACATTTATTGTACAGCATTTTATATATAAATAAATACAAATTTATAGGAAACAAATTGACCCATACTTTTCCTAATATAAAAAATAAATATAATAAACGTGATCACATGCTAAGCCAGCTACTTGGGAAATATGCTTTGTGTTCAGTTTCAGTGGTAATAACCATGAGTAACCTGAAGCAATCATTTAAACACACCACAGATGCTTAGTTTTTACCTTGGCCTTGACCTAGGTGTATTCAGAATTTTAAGAAAAAATTTTCTATTAAAGCCAGTGCCATACAAGTAATTGAGTTTACATGGTAGGAATGTGTGTATTGGAGATGAAAGATTTAGAGAAGATGTAATAGCAGATGTCAAATATTTTGAAGAGTAATTATAGGGAAGAATTAAAATTCTTTATCCACGGGATAAGAAGGACATGGAAAAAGTGAAATGTCTCCTTCACCATTATGAACTCCTAGTCCCACGAACGGTAGGGCCTTGTCAGGGACTTGTACAGTGAGGATCCCTGGACTGGCAGCTGGGACTGACAGCAGGGGGTTAGGCCCTGAGGGAGAAAGAAGTTCCTTGATGGAAACTGTTTTGTTGAGACTGAAGTTCAGAAGTTGTAAGACTTCTTAGGCAGTTTGCTTTATCTCATGTTCCTGCTGATAAAGCAGTATTTGGTTATTCTGTTTATACCTCCTGTAAATAGATGGGTTTGATCTTCCTGGAGTACATCAAAGTGAAATTTTCTGATGTAACTACTACTGTCTTGTGAAAACAAGCAGGTGGATATGATGAGCTTCAGTAGTGTCCTGCATCTTGCAAGTCCACTAATTGCTGGAGGGAGTGGGCTAGAAGTGGCGATTTTAATTGGGAGGAGGCAAGTGGTGTGTTATCCAGTCTAAAATATTCACTGTGTCATAAGTTCTCATCTTGGGAATGGATGGAAAGTCCTATTTTGTACTCCTTTCCCACAAATGGCATGCCGATGCTTATCACAGAAGAAACTCCTGCGATTAGATGTGAGGTATAGGAAGGTAAGAAGCACGGAGATTTTGACCTGTCTTCAACAAACAATAAAAACTCTTCTATATTAGAAGAAATTTTCACCTCTAAGGATCAAGGCCTTTTTCAGACAGTTAAATGCACTAAAATAGAGAAATAAAAATTCTATGGCTGTAAATATATAAAACAAATAAATAAGATCATACAGTTTATACATTCCAAATTCTTAGAGAAGCCCAACAGTAGTTCAGGAAGAGTATAAAGAATTGTTCCCTGAGTTCTTGAGGCATCCTCAAAGGTCAGTCCATGAATTCCAAGACCTTAGACATAGGAAAACCCCCGTGGTCTGCATGTGGCTGTTTACTCCAAAGTGATTCGTTCAATGCTCTCCCTATAGTTCAGATGTTTTAAGAATGTGGCTTTATCCATTTCTTAGAAGACAAGGTCCCAAATGAAACTTCTAAGAGGAGGAAGAAAAAGGCTGTTTAAAGAAAGTAAAGCTTTAACATTAGTTAAGAGTGCACTTGAGTCAATCAGTTCTAAATCTATAATACACCAAGGGTAGTAATACTCAACTATAGTTTAAGTGTATCAGTTCTAAATCTATAACGCATCACGAGTAGTAGTAGGTGTCAGAAGGTAGAGTTCTACAAACTTGGGCTTTCCTGACCTCATTGGTTACCAAGCCCAGTCTTTTCTTATCAGACTCAATTACACTCTACTAATCAATTAAAAAAAATCCCAAACTATGATAACCAGAATGACTTTTCAGTGTTTAAATGTGTAACACCTAAATTTGATTTTAAAATAAAGTTCTTAATAATCATTCTAATCAGGTCTCAAACTTAGAAAATATCCAGACTCTACACAGTTGGTATATAATAGTGATTTCTAAAAAAAAACCACTGAAATGGGATTTTTAAGGTTCTTAAATTGTTTTACATATTTATCTTCTTGGTAGCTACCAGGAGAATACGTAAAAAATAAATTCAGAGCTTTTGAATAAACAGTGAAATATGTGATTGTTGGAATTCCCACAAGAGTCTATTTTAAAAACTAACTATAATGAATGGAGACTCCAATTCTGGTGCTGGCAGACTTAGGCTTAGTTTTAATTTTAAGCCCTTAAAAGGTTTTGTTTGTTTGTTTTTTTAAAGAGAGTTAAGGGAACCTACTGAAATGTTCCACCTATTTCAGCAAAGTGCACATATACAAGTGCATCTTTTGGTGTGGCTATGACCTCAAAGGAGGTGTAGAAGTCAAGGGTGCTGGTGACAGATTCCTGACTATATTACTGAGGCTGGCAATCTTCTCTTCTAGGAGGTAATTTTTCTTCTCTGCTGTTTTCTGTCGCTGTTCAGTCATTTCCAGAGCTTTCAACAACTGAGCATTTTCAACATACAAATCCTTCACCACTGCATCTGCTTTAGTATTCTTGCAGAGCTAGAAACAGAACCAGAAACATCTTGATTCCATTTCTGTAATGATTCTTCTAAGTTTAAGGTCTGACATAAGGACAGTTATTTTATAAAGGCAAAATCAATTCTCTGTTGTATTTTTTATTTTACAGTACAGCTTTAACGTCAGATTTGGCATCAGGATTCCAAGTGGAACAAATCCACTTTTTCCAAGCTGTTTCTTTACATAATATTTGTAGACATTAGTAATAAAAATAACAGACTGCTATTAAAGGTCTCCAAAATGATTTTCCCCACTTAAATAAATTAGGTGTCGTTCCTTGTTTTCTAAAATTAACTATTTTTATAACTTAAATTTTTGAGGTATAAAGTGTGATCTGTGTTAAAGTCTGCTTTTAGCACACGTTTAAGGTTTTCATTCATAACAACTAGTGATTATTGCAAAATTTGGCTCATGAATTATTTATTATTTATTTTTTGGTACTGAGGATCAAACTCGGGACCTTGCGCTTGTGAGGCAGGTAGCAGAACCACTGAGCTAAATCCCCGGCCCTGGCTCATGACTTATAACAAAGATGAGATTTGGGCAGTTTTCTTCAGTTCCTTCTTTTCTGCAGAGGGCCTTGTCTAGAAGGTATATTCCAATCCTGATGGTTAGAATATTTAGTCTAGGTTGGGGTGGGAAGGCTTGTTAGTAGATTTGGGAAACTTTTTCTTTTATTGCTCCTCTTAATATCTTCAATCTCCTTTACCCATATTGTACTTTTAAGCCCTCATTTTATACCTGGATCTAAGCAGAGCCTCTAAAGGAATAAAGGCGTAAGGATAAAGAGCAACTACAGAGAGGCTGCCTGGCATTTCACAGGTCAGTGATAATCCAGATAACAGACAGGTGGAACATACTAACATTTCAGAAACCAGTCCTTTATTGAATTGATCTAATATCGGTTTTCTTTACTTCTACTGTCCCTTTAATTAAACACTTCAATTGCTCTTTATCACAAAAGAATAAAATTCAAACTCTGATGTAGCAAGTGAGGTCCCTTCCTCTCTAGTCTCTTCTCCCAGGATGGCATTACAGTCTGGCAGTGCCCAGTGTTTATAGATCCCCCACCCTACATGTTGTCCTAACTTCTTGATGTTCCCACAACCCAGCACGCCCTTCCTATATTTTTTTTCACCTGATCAATCATCGCTCTATTCTCAGGACTTCATTTAGGGTCCTGCAGGAAGCTTTAACATGTTTACGATAAGGCTGTAATTCATATGTTTTGCTGCCAGGCAGCTTGTACCACCAGTGGTACATGCATGACTGTCCCACTGAGTGGCATGGGATGGGACAGTTGTGCATGTACCTCTGGTGGTTCAAGCTGGTGGGAAAGGGTTGGATCAAGTGTCTTTTTTTCTTGTGTTTCTTTCTACTGAAAATAGAGCCAGCCCTATTTTATTTCATTTTATTTTTGAACCTGTCATCAGGCAAACGCTTGGCACCTTATAGGTGTGCTAGAGTTTAATTCAATATGGGCGAGGATCTTTTTATTTTCTTCATTGCTACTTTTCTAGTACCCAAAACAGGACTTGGGAACATAGTAACACAATGAATGCTTACAGGGTTGAACAGGCAACTGGTCATTAATATTTTCTCCTGTTTATCAAGATAAAGGGCAAAGGAGAATTCTTGTCTGCACCTGGATTTAGATCTTCTCTTGGGATTATCATGCTTTTTAAAAACATTTTATCTAGAAAATCACCACCAGTCTGTTTCCAGAGAACATCTGACATGTTCCTAGGAGGTGGTCTTCCCTGAATCTCTCTTAATGGAATGCCCAACTAACCTCTGAAAACTGAGGCCACATCTGCCACCAGTGCTTACTGGTCAGAAATTTGGACTCTTTTCAAAGCCCATCCTTTCTCGGTCTTATAAGGTGCTTTTTGAGGTTGTCACAAGCTATTGGGCATGGGAAAACTAAAGTTCTACTTTTCACCCCTCCCCTCAATTTTTTGCCGGTATCATTTTTCTATTTGAATGGGCACTGCTTGTCTTGGGCAGAGAAGAGAAAATATGTACATATTCAATTTGGGCCACTGAACCGCATTAGGGATTAGATCTATGTGAGTCACTGTTAGCAAATATGTTTTTAAAATTGTGGATAAACATGTCTTAAAAGAGCATTGGAAAAAATGTACAATACAGAATTCATATTTTGGAGTGGTATGAGGGAGAGTTGATCCTAAGTTCTTCTAGACATTTATGGTAGAATTTGCCTTTATTAGACAACACAAGTTAATGGCAATAGAGGGGTATGAAAATAGAGTTAAAACTGGGACAGGAAGTGGGTAGGCTGAGGGGACTGGGGAGGCTCACTTGTTCTTTGAGCTGATTCACTTTCTCTTGAAGAAGCCTCTTCACTAATTTCAGTTTTTGTTCAACTTCTATCATCCGTTCTTCCATGAGTGTTACCAGTTGTTCCTGGCTTCCCTGTGGAAAGGAAAAAAAGTGTATTATCATTTGAAAATTGTGCCACACTGGAAACACCATAGGCTTATTCTCCCCACAGGACGCCTATAGAAAGAAGCGCTAATGTTTTGCCTTGATAATAAGAAGGATGCATTTCTGATGAAAGGGGTTTTCTGAATACTGCATAGATTGTACATTAGAAAAGTAGCCCTATAGAGAAAGAATCAGAGAGAGAATCTTACCTGTGATTCTATTGTTCCCTGATACAAAGCAAAATTCTTAAGCCCCATAATTGAATACCTGTGTGTACTTCTTCTAGTAAAATGAGTCTCCAAAGCAAATTAAAAGATGGTGATGCGCCTTCCATGGTGACTCGGGTCTTTGCAATACTATGGGGGGTCTCAACAGGACAGACACTGGGTTTAGCTGAGGCTGCCTAATGTTCACACATCTGTTTTTCCTTTGAAATGAGTGAACCTTGTGAGGGTGTCAGAGTGTTTTCTTCTTCATAACTCTCCCTTTGCCAGTACTCTAGTTATCTGCTTCTCAGTCTGTCTTGTCAATGTGAACCTCACATCTGGACTGGAAAGTTAATTTGTCATCAGGGCAGATTGCAAATCAAGAATTTCTCCCCACAGACCACTCCTAGATACAAAGCACAAGGAAGGCAAAGAGCCCTGGCCTCTTCTACTCATCCCACACCAGTGATGGGTTAAGGAATAGTGGGTGTGGAAATCGGTGACCTGGAGAGGTCAGAGTACAACTGACTCTCTTGCTCCCCTCAGTTCACAAAACGTCTACATGAGGAATTCTAATCACAGCCAGTGCTTCAGCGCTTGAAGCATAGCTCAAGTGGTAATGGTTGATGGTTATTCTTAAACAGCTGTACCTCAAGATAAAACACGCAGAATGGTGAAGCAAGTTGAAAGCCTACATTTGCTTGGATATTAAACAGCCCTTAATCTTAAACTATGTGACTAATTTGAAGACAAAAGTTGTAGCAGGCAGAAGTCCAATGCAGAAAGTGAATTTCAATAAACGAAGCCTTTGGACATCTAGCTTTTAAAAAGGCTTATATTTTGAAAAGATATAATGGGATTTTTCTCCCTGCAATGTAGTTTTTATTTCATGAAAAATAAGATAAATTTTCATAAGCAAATAATGAAATTTTTTGGTTTCTACTGTCCTACGAAAATGAAGCAAAACAGAAAACCATAACAGATAATTCTAAGAATATGGAGCATGGCAAAAGAGGAAAAACAAAGGCAGTCATATATTTAAAATTTATTTTATTGTTTCATCAAAATTTTCCATTTTCCTGTCAAAAATTATTATACATCTTATACAAAACCATATAAATAACCCTGATTTTCTTCAAATTCCATATATAAAAGTACTTTTTGTTAAAAATAATTACAACGTATGGAATGAGAAAATATATAGAATACACATCCTTTCAAGCATCTTGAATCTACACTCTTTAAATAATGATTTGTAACAAGCTGAAGTTTGTGAATTTGATGCACAAAACCTGTCATTTCTACCGAAATAAATATGAGACATAATACTGCAAAGGCTTCGGTAAAAATAAGGATGGAATCCCTGCACACAGCGCTTGGCTCCCAGGTGTCTCAGCTCATGTCTCTGTGTGCCTGTGTGCTGTGTGTGTGTGTATGTGAGCCTCTGAGTCTGCCATGGGACCAGTGCCGTCCATAGCAGCCCCGTGTCACAGGTGCCCAATCCTTCTGTAGGAATCTGCATGCACTGCTCGCTGCTCCGGTAGCAAAGCCTAGAGAAAGAAGGCAAGTGGAACACTTCACCCTGATGCCAAGAGGACAGGGCTTTAGGGGAGTTAGGGAAGTCAACTTCACACACGACAATGCAAACAGTTTTTAAAAGTGCACGCATTATGACACTACATAGGCAAGCAAAGTGACACGGAGGCAGGAGACGCTACATCACTGCACACCCAGACGACATGCACATTCTGTCAGTACTCCACATCCTTCACACTCATGTTAGCTCAGTAGCTAGAGCCTGGGGTGGTATTCTAGTGCAAGTATTAAGCAGTCCACCCTCTTTTTGCCAGAGGTATTTCTTTCTCTTTTTGTTTAAGAATATTAACTGAAGTAATTGAGTGAAAGGACAGATTTTATTTTTAAACATTGGTGGGCAGACTGGGAAGAGCATGCTTTGAATGAAAACAGTGTGTATGGGAGAGCAAGGAACACAGAGTCTTGGCCAGATAACTGGGTTTCAAAGATCGATCAGAAACTGCCATCAAGGTTCTATAGTTCAATTCTGTAATGTGGAGCTGAAGCATCTAATATTCTACCACTGTGATTTTAATTCAAAAATTTAATTTTGATACTGGGAAGGTACTGTGGTGTGTAGAAAAGCTTCCAAAAATGAGGATTTTAAAACAAATAAGAAAAAAGACTTTTTCAAAGTTTTGTTAAGAATAGGTGGCAGAAGAAATATACGTCACAGCAAAGCATAGCTACATACTAGCAGAAGAGGAAAACGGATAAATTTAGTGCTAAAATGATTTTGCAAAGCCACTCTGAGGGGATTAAGAAAGAACTGGGAAATTCCTAATCAATATAACTGAGAGGTAAGCACAAGTACATCGATACTAGAAAGAACTGACTTGGAATTCCACAAAGAAGTATTTTTTAGTTTTTATTCCTAATTTTGAATTAACGAAATGGGAAAAACTAGAGAGTTATGAAACCTCTGTAGGATAATTGTGAATGAAGCACTGAAGAAAAATAACTTTGAAAACCTAGGTAATGTAAGATTACATCCGGTAGCCAAGTTGGGATAATGCTAATTTATTTATTTATTTATTTATTTTTGGTACCGGGGATCAAACTCAGGTCCTTGCACTTGTGCAGCAGGTGGCGAAACCACTGAGCTAAATCCCTGACCCGGATAATGCTAATTCAAAGGCAATGGGGAGATCTTTATTTTATTCAATAGCTTTTCATACTATATTAGTCAAACAACTAAGCATACACTACTGACTACACAGGTAAGAAAGTCCCCATTTGTAAGTTCCATAGAAGTTGGCTGGTCCCACCCCTCTGGCACAGGAAAACACAGGATGTTGTGTTGTTAGTGCATATCCCAAGTTCCATATGAGTTTTCTAATATTTGTGGCACGAGATGAGACCATTAGGCCAATAGTGCATTATGTTCCAGTCATTGCGGTACTTTGTCATCAACTACCAGTGTGCAAAGGAGATCAGAATATCTTATGACCCAGCCTAGAAACTGAGAGCTCAGAGCAGCACTGCAAAAACCAAACCCAAACCCAGCACTGCAGTTCTGTGTGTGTGTGTGTGTGTGTGTGTGTGTAGAACACAAGGGAAGGTGACTTAGGTTCTTTACCCTCACCTTTCAGATAAAGGTAAAATGAATGAGATGAGCTGAGTTGACCGCTCAAAGAACAGAGCGCCTCCTACCTGTGGCATGTTGGTGTCAGAGGCCCTGTTGTCAAGTTCCTCCTGCAGGTGCTGGTTTCTCCTTTCCGCCTGCAGCAGCTGGTGTTGAAGCTGGAGAAACTGCTCCCTGGGGACCACCGGGCAGGCTTGCTGCTGGAGCGGCTGCAGGTCCCAAGGAGGGGACGGGCTAAGCATCACAGTGGACCTCGGATGCTGCATCTGCAGGACAAGGGCAAAGGTCTGGTTAGCAGCAGCTCCCTTCAGTCCACAGCAGGGAGTAGTGAAGTCTAGGACTTAGCTACTGGCCTCGTACCAACCGGTAACTTGGAAACAGGGCGGCACATGGCCCCAGGTGAGAGGTAATGGGAAGAACCATTTTGCTTGGATGATAATGAATAAGTAGGCTTTCTGAAAAGTTTTAGAATTAAAAAATGTACTTCCTTGAGTGGCTATAAGGGCATCAGTGCATAATATGCAGTACATAGTACATCTGAATTCTGATTTCTAGGCTAGAACATTTACCTTCTTCCCCTTTAAAAACTGGGGTTCTAGTAGGGAAATTGGGAGAAGTGGTTACGTTCTAGGATTTTCCACTATACTTACCACTCAAAGAGTCTTAAAGACAAATGTTCAATGGTTACATATTTTCCAACCCCAGGTTAGCAAAATTTTGGGGGGGAACAATTTCATCTTGCACTTAAGACTATTTTAACCCATTTTAGTTTATTGGTGAGGAGTTATACCCTTAACACAGTAAGACAGGCAATTTCTGGAGCATAAGACAATATCCTAAAATATCTGGGATCTGGAGTACATGGGATAGAAGGATTTGTTCAAGACAATGAGGAAAAGGTGTATCAACATGCCAATCACATGTAGGGAGAGGAAAAGATGAGAATACACTACATTTTGGCCAATGACCATGCCACCTCACATCTGTCAGCACGTTCAGCAGACACAGGGCTCTGTGGAAGGCATGCAGGGAACATGAGCAAATCCAAAACCCGAGAGGACGCGCCTCTGGGCTTGAAGCAAGGGGAAAAGGCCTTCTCAGACTCAATGATAATTAAATGTTACCACAAAACTTCAAAGCCACTATCCATTTCCTTAGATCTTCATTTCTGAAGTGGATCATTATTCACTTTGAAATTCTTTTAGTTGTAGATTCAAAAAATCTCCCACTTTATTTTCATGAATAAAGAAAATACAGTATTAGGATCCCATGACTTTATAGCAGTGGGATAATGTTTTTCATATATAATGCTTTAAATACTGAGGAAAATCCTAATGGAGACATATTCCACAGTGAAAGCAAAATGAAAACGAAAATGAATACTGGCTCTTTAGTACTTAAGTATTACAGCCATAGAAATGGTTACATGAACAAAAAGTTTAATGAGATGGCCCATGCTGTGAAATTCCATTGGAAGAGAATGTTCTACCTTCACACACTATCTCAGGCAGAGAACCGCACCCTTCTCTGCTACTTCCAACCACTGAGTTCTAGGTACAGGTTAGCCACAGACAAAACAAAAACACACAAAAGAAAATTTCAGGAGTTAGAGAAAGAGGAAGACAAGTGAGTTATAAACAGAAACAACAGTACCATTTGGATATATTTATATACATGAACAAAAGCATACTAAGGGCCGACATTTACAACCCTAATTCTACTACTGTTTCTCCACCTGCTGTGATCTGCTGGGTTTGTGAGCTTGCCTCCTTTACTTGTACCCATCCCAATATAATTAGATGATTCCGGTCCAGTATGGAATGGACCTGACGTTAACATCCCTTGCCCCTTGCAGATCAGAATGTCCTAGAAGCTTTTCTCTAGTTCCAAAGGTTCGGATGTAGGAACATCTCCCCGCTTGTTCATGGGCCCTCACCCCCGGCAGGTGAGAATCCTTGCCAGATAGGAATATACCCATCCCTCAGGTGAGTTGGCATACCAAGGATGGGGTGAAAACTACTCTATAGTCCATAAACTAGCTTAATCTGTAGATATCATACTATAAAGAATCCAGTTTATAAGGCCAGCAGGAGGAATGGTTAATGCTTAATAGAGTTTCTGTGTGGAGTGATGAAAAGGCTTTGGAAATGATGTATTAATACCACTGAATTTTAAACTCACTAACAGTTAAAATCTCATGTTATATGTCATATAAATATTTACCATCTTTTAAAAATAACATACCCACGGCTGGGGATTTAGCTCAGTGGAGCTGTGCCTGCCTGGCAAGCGCAAGGTCCTGAGTTCAATTCCTCGTACAAAAAACCAAAACAAACCAACAAAAAATACCCCAAATCATTAAATTGTATACTTTAAATATATGAACTGTTGAGAGGGAGAGAGAGAGAGAAAAGTCCAATCTGTATAAATCTATAGTTAATAGCTCTGTCTTATTTCCAAATTAAAGTCTTATTAGGACAGTATATGAAATATTCTTTTCAGTGTTTAAATAGAAAATTCATGCTTTTTTCCTTATTCAGTTCCAGTGCCAAGGACACTAAATTTTCCTTGTCTATTAGCAAATATTTACAACTAGATCAAGGGGGAAATGACATGGGGGAATTGCTGATGAGGGCTAACTATAAATGGGGTTCGGGAGAGCAGGTGAAGAGCCAGCCTATTGGCAGGGTACCCAGCGGGAATTAAGTATAGCCTGCTTCATTTCAATTTGTTGCTAGACATGTTGGGCTTAGCTTCGGGTACCTTACTCATTAGAGTATATAATTATTTCATCAGGAAAGCATATCGACATCTAAGCACAGCCTGCAGCTCAAGATTTTGAATGCATTTATTATAGGCTGTCGGAAAACACGATTTGGATTGCACTATTTATAGTTTCAGTAATCTCCCCATTTGTGGATAAATCAGAGAATATAAAATTGCCAGAAACCTTTGGTGGTTATTTAAATGTCAACATGATACACTTGTCCACTGCACATTTTAAAATCGTGTATTACTTTTTAAAGTTACCTTGGCTTGTATCCAGTTTTATAAAAAAAATTTAAATATTTTTTTCTTTCCTATAATTCTGGCTTACAAGTCTTTGTATACATTGTAGTTTTTAAGAATACAAAGACATTTTCTGTCCATGATTCTTTATCATACGTAAGTTTTACAATTCACAAAATGTTGCATTGATTATATTTTCATTTACTAAAAGCAAAACATCTCAAGGAAATTTTTACTTATCAAGGAAGGTTTTAAGTTGTTTTATATTTTATAAAGACATATATTATGTCCTACAACGTACTCAGAAATCAGGCTGGTAGATTGGGACACAACATCCAAGCTTGTGAGTTTTCCGGTTCATTATCTATTTATCAGATGTACCCTGCACAAGGCAGTGCTGAGTCACACACCTTCCTCCTCCTGGCTTGTTAGTCATGCTAGAACTCAAACCCAGGTCCCACACTTGCTCTGCAAGTGCTCCACCGCTGCACTACAACAGCAGCTCTTGAAACTAAAACTTCAAAATGCCAATGTGTGCATTTCCTAACTGAAGGGGTTGTCAGAGAGTGATTTTGTGATCTCTCTGAAACACTGCAATACGGAGGTCTCAGGACACCATTAAAGACAATGACGGCAAGAGAGCTCTGGGCCTCTTGAACCGCATCAGTAGAGTCCCTGTCACTTGTATCCATTGAGAGACAGGTCTTTGTATATTAGATCACATTATTCCTTCCTCTGCAAAACAGTATGGAGTCCTGTAACAGTGTAAGCAAAAGTGACTGTTAAATTTGGTAAAATAGGCCAAAGAATGCAGGTTGGCAGGTACTCAGGTTTTTACAACAGGAATTCAATGCCATGTCTAGTCTCTCCTAATGAATGTCTCATTCGTGGATTAAAATATTCTTCATAGTGAAGGCCTTTTGCTTAAATACTTACCTCCACTAGCTGCTCATCCAGTTTCACTTGTTTCTTTTTCAGGCCTTCATTTTCCAAATGAATTGTTTCTAATTCTTGTTCAAGGGCATTCATCTGACTGACCTATTAAAAAACAAAATTCCTTAAGAGAAAAACACCCAGCTTGTTCTACTATTCAAATATCTCTATTCTTGAAAGAAAGCCAAGAAAATTCAGCAATACAAAGGATAAACAATGCAGTGCTATTTAAGTAATCCAGTTTTAATCACCACTTCTTACATAGCAGATTCTTTCAGGCAGTTAGCTGACTTCTAAACTTTGATGCCACCCCCTGTAAAAAAACACAAGACAATCCTACAACACAGTATCCATGCTTACGTGTGTCTGTGTGCACAGCTGTAACTACATATCACCGAAAGAAAATGCTTATGAAAGACTTTTTACCATGAGTCATAAACTGCTATTTTGTAGTGTATTAATTAAAATTGCTATTTTTCACTAAATTGATTTAATGATCCTCTAGTACTGGATCTCAGGGGATAAATTTCTTGAGAGTACTTAGGTTGAGATTTATGTAACACTTTTTTTTTTCAGTTTTAAAGATGAAATTTCAAGATTTTTATGGAATCCTCTTTACTACATTTTTGGAATTCTCTTTACTACAGGAAGAATCTAATGAGTTCCAAGTTATTGGTATTCCGTATATTGCTAAATAGAAACCATGACACTACTGCAAAAGGCTAATTTTTGCTTCTATCAAAAAGAGCTGAGGGGCTGGGGATTTAGCTCAGTGGTGCTGCCTGCCTCACAAGTGCAAGGTCCTGAGTTCGATCCCCCGATCCCCCGGACCAAAAAAAAAAAAAAAAAAGCTGAAGAGAGCAGCAAGATTTGTTAAGCAGAAATGGAATATTTCCAGGTTCATTTAAAATTCATTGTTATTTAAAAACCTCTCTGCTGGGAATTTAGCTCAGTGCCACCATGCCTGCCTTGCAAGCACAAGGTCCTGAGTTCATTCCCTGCTACCAAAAATAGTCTCATAAGACTTTTCCTGTGGTGAACAGCTAAGGGACTTGCTTTGACAAGTTTGCTTCAAAAGAACTGAAATTATTATTATTTTTGGTATCGGGGATTGAACTTGGGTCCTTGTGCCTTCGGGGCAGGCAGCAGAACCACTAAGCTAAATCCCCAGCCCAGGAACTGAAATTAAATGACATTTCATCTTAGATCACCACCAGCCTTCTCACTGCAAACGGTCATAACTTTTGCAAATTATAGAAAAATATAAATACTTTATAACAAAACTAATATTGTTCATTCTCCAGGATTTTTAAATCATATATTTGAGAAGAGAAACGTAATAGTGAAAACTTTGATCTTTGGCTCAGGGAAGAAAACAAGTAACCAACAATCCTCAGGTTTTGGGTTTCATGGTCTGAACCCTCACTCCATGAGACAAGGCACAGAAAGCAAATGGAACTGTGCTACTGGGGTTTAACCAAGAGGTACTCAGCTCCAAGACGGCCCCCAGGGATCGCCACCTCCTGGGTTACTCTGTGTACAAACAGCCCACAGTAGAAAGCATGGTGTGTGATTTCTAACGATATGTTTTGAAAGGCCCTAGAGCTTGCATCTTGGTATTTTGAGCTTGGGTGTCCGTCCAGGAAGTAAGAAGCTGTGGTCTCAGGCCATTAGCTAGCATGAAACAGAAGCCTCTTGCTAAGTCCTAGGAGTGAGCCTGGAATGTGGATCCTCTGGTTTCAGCAAAGCCTTCAGGGAACCACAGCCCTGGACAACATCATAAGAGCCCAGAGTCAGCCCACGCAGCTAAGCTGCTTCCGAATTCCAACGCACGGAAACTGCTAGGCAACTTGTGTTATTTTGTTACACAGCAACACATAACTAATACAGTACATAACAGGATGTTTCTGATATGCAGACTACATATATTTTGCCAACTTGTAAAGTCTTATAAAGTTAAGATGATTAACTGTCTTCCCTGTGAAAGCCTCAAACATTGTTCTTTCTCAACCATTATTCAATCAAAAAGAACTATGATACTGTTTTGACAAGACTACAGAGGCATAAAGAGATATAAGAACCAAAATATGCCATGGAATCACTTCCTTAGAATCATGCAGGGTGAGAAACACACTCTACGAAGTGTTCTGGTCACAACACAGACATGATATATAATCTCAAAAACTCACCTTCCTATGAGCGGGAGATGGTTCTTTTTGAAACTGTTCACACTCTCTCTTTAAATTCAACTTTTCTTGCTCTGTAGGTTTCACAGTACCTGATGGGTTTAAAAGTTTTTGGTGCTTAAGGGGAAGAAGGCTGGATTCCAGCTGACGGACCTAGCAAAAACAAATTATAAACAAATGCTTATGTAATCAGCCAGCCAGGAAAAATAAACACAGGAAAAGTTCTTATTTAGCACTTGGGTCCAGTGGTATTAAAAACTCTTAGCTAGGCATGGTGGTGCATGCCTGCAGACCCAGCTACTAGGAAGACTTAATCAGACTAGGGAGACACTTGAGCTCAGGAGTTAAGGATCAGCCTAGGCAGCATAGTGAGACCCATTTCAAAAACAAGAACGACAACAAAAGACCTTTAAGTCCAGCCCGCCAATTCTGGAAGCCTACTTTTCTGGATTTCTGAAGATCCTTCCTAGGTAAATCGGTGAGGTCTACAAGCCCAATAATGAGGATAAGACAGGGAAGAGGGGAATTCTGGGTCTACTGAGTTGACAGAGTGTGGTGTGATTGCCAAGGAAGTGAACACAGCAGCCCGCAGCCCTTCAGCTCTTGCCTGAGCATAACTCTTAGGAGTGAATGAGGTGACAGTCTCATAGGCTCTGTATCAAACTGCTTGCAACTGAAATCTGCATTTGCTAAGTTCCGTGAGGATGGGACTGTGTCTTGCCACCCCCCGCCCCCAGTGTCAGTGACAGCACAGGATCTGCACAGTGTCCTAAATTCAGAGTTCCTCTTCAGTAGAGGTGCCAGAGCACTGGTTAAATACAAATGGTCAACCATGTAGCAGAGGTAAAGATCTGAAGCACCACTTTGATGGTTAGAAAAGATGAGCTTTAAAAATCATTCTAACCTTGAAATGCTGAGTCTTTAAAATGGTGCACTTTTTCTCCTAGAAGGAGGGAGTTAGACCCGAAAGATCTGAGTTTAATTCTGCCATTTTTGTAACTCCTGATCTGGGCAGCTAGCCAATCTGAATGAGGAATATGTGGTTAACGCCATTTCTATGGGTATGTTTTTGATGCATTATAATCACAGATTTAATACAGAGCTGCTTGCAGAAACTGAAAAATATTTTATAAACATATCAGGGTAAAATTACATGCAAGTAAATGATAAATTATACATTCTCCTGCTATAGCAGGATACTCAAATCTGTACCCTAGTAGCTTTCAGTCACAGCAAACCTTCATTTTCCCATCACACTAATTATTTCAACCGTGCCTCCCACTGCAGCCTTTCCTGTTACCTTCTCCCTGGAGTGCGAGAGCTCTGTTTTGGTGTTCTGCACCACGCTCTGCAGCCTCTCATTCTCCTGCCAGAGCAGTTGCTGCTCCTCATTCATCAGGTGACCCGGCTTTTCCCAAGACAGCTGTTTCTGCTGGCTCTGGGGCCCTGCCTGATGCGTGGCTGTTTCTGAGGCCCAGTTCTTAAGAGAGAATCACAGTTAAGCCTTCGAAACACACTGATGGGCAATTTGTTTAGAGAAAGGTGCCCTATTTACCTAGCGACAATTCGGGGGTTTTTTGTTTTTTTTTTTTTGTACCGGGGATCAAACTTGGGTCCTTGTGCTTGAGCACCAGGCAGCAAAACCACTGAGCTAAATCCCTGGCCCTATTCGGGGTTTTTTAAAGTACTTATTTGTAAGTACATAATGAGTACGTTCATGGTGAGGAATTAATATATAAACATAACACAATGACAATCCCTAGTAAACCTTTACTTTTGCCTTCAAATGTGTACGTATTCATAGATAGGAATTAAACAATACTTTTGGAATTTGGTTTCTTTAAAAAAGGCTTGGAAGTTCTAGATTTAACGTGCTGTTTGACAAAACAGCCCAGGTAAGTTCAACGGCAAATGACTGAAGGACAAATTCCAGTTCTCTAAAGGATGCAAGGGCGGTTGGTGGCTTAAATGCTGCCCTGTTCTCAGGAAGCTATCTTTGAACCCAGAAATGCAGCACTCTTCTGATTACCAGAGGACTCTGAAAGGTGCTGCTGACCTGAAGGCTCGCAGGCCGAACTCTATTTTTGTTTTCACATATGCAATCATATCCCTTTTTAGAATTCAAAGCACATATTATCCACATAATTGAGACCTAGGTTCAGGAATATACTTTATGTTACCAGGATGGTGTTTTTTTTAATCCTAAAAATAACTTTAAAAAAAAAGGTAACACAACTAGATGAAACTCCTTCCTTTTAAGCCAAGCATGAAAAAAAGGTACAATCTCATTTTGAGAAAAATGTCACCCCAGAAGAAAATTTTTAAATTAGAAATGTCGTCATTTTAAAAATACCACCAAGAGAGGGAAAAAAAACCAGATTTCTACTTCTATTACAGGACAAAAATCTTAGCATCTACCGTAACATTCATAATATTAGATTTAATTTATCTGCACACAGATTAAGGAGCATTGTGATATCTTAAGATGAGACACACTTTCTAACAGCACCAAAATGTGCCAGCCAGCTGACGCCTTACCCAGCTCTTCCTGGACTTTCTAGTCTCATAGCTAGAAGCTCCTAAGTTCAATACTATTGTTTTAATGCCACAGTTTTTCTTTTCAGCACAAGTTTTAGTTTTTTGCAGTGTGTGTGTGTGGTTCCTAGATTAATTTCTTGCAATGTTTTATTTGCCTTAATTTTTAGGGTCACATGAATGTTCTTAAAGTTTGAAAATATTTTAGTTTGATTACTGAGAAACTCAACTCAGCCATGATCTTTTCAACTTGTTCAATACCCAAAATGACCTCTTTGGTGTAACTATAGTTACAATGATATGAAGTCCAGAAACAAGTTTCCCTAACCTGTGGTGGCAGAGGGTACAAAAAATGGGTTCCCTGAGGTTAGCAACTGGAAGGGACACCAGAAAGCAGAGTGGGAGATAGAAATGACCCAAGTGGTGGTGACACAAACACACAAAAGGACACCTTTACATTTTATATACATATAATATATATACAATATATATTCTTTCCTTTATACATACATAAATGTAAAACTGATCAAATCAGACTAAAAACTTATGTACTTTGTCATAACTTACAATTTAATAAAACAAAAAATAAATCACCTTGTCATTAGCATTCTGAAGGTGTTTTTGTAAAGATATTACTTCTTGTTTTAAAGCTTCCTTCTCCTGCTGAGTCCCTCGAAGGTCAGATTTGACTCGGGACATTTGAAGGTTGATATTCTGCAGCGTATCTTCTAGATCCCGAACCTGCATCATAAGAACAATCTTACCTTGCTACACAAAACCACGAGCACGTCCATCAATGAATAAACAAAGATAAGACAACTCTGAGGTCTTTTCTGGTTGTTTACTATGTCCAGTTCTCTTCTCAGTAGCCCAGTGGAAACCCAGGATATTATATATATTTGTAGGATGTTAAATCATATTTAGGAAAATGATAAGCTACGCTTGGGGCAAGGTATTGTTGATAGTTATCTGGTAGATTCAAATGATATCTGAGAGAACTAAAAGTGTCACCCAAGAAAAAGAAGGTCTCATTTGTAGACTCTGGTAGAAACTATGCTTTAGCCTGGAAGTTGGTTTTTAAAGGACTTCTTAGTTGAAAATAATGCATACTTGTAGAATCTTACTTCACATTAATATCTTAAATAGATTTCAATAAAAATTTAAATTTATAAAAGGAATATTGATAAAGATCTTTAACGGGGCATGAACCTACTTTAGACACACTATTTCTACTAATTTGTATATATTATACTCAAGTTTTTATAATAATCTCAACTAGTGACCTTTTCAGGAAATATTCTTTATATTATTTTGCCACACTCTAAACATGCGTCAAATTAGGTCCTATGGAATCATTCTGAGTCTTTTGAAGCCACTCCCACCTGGACTGTTGTTTGCTCTAAGGTATCCGGTAGAAGATGGAGGAAAATAGTGCGGAGATGGAACAAGAACTGTCCACACACATACCTTTTCTTGCGACTCTGCCAGCTGTGACTTTAGGGTCTCATTCTGGTGCTCCCAAGATTTCTGTTCCTGCTTCATGGCAGCCATTTTGTGCTCTAAATGCCTTGTTTTTGCCAACTGTTTTAGGAAGAGAAGAAAAAAGGGCAGTTTTACAAACATATCTAGCCTCAATGTATAGGCCTCCACTAACATATCAAGAAAAAATACCATGTATTTATATGGCAGCACAGGGGAAAATGAAATTTCAATTTTTTTTTTCCCAGTACCAGGGATCAAACTCAGGACCTTGCACTTGTGAGCCAGGCACAGTGCCACTGAGCTAAATCCCCAGCCAGGTAAAATAAAGTAGTTTTCCTGGGTCTCTTAATTTTGAGCAGTCTCTTTCTTTTTTGGACATTTATAGTTTTCCCCCTCACTGACTCATATTTTGAGGGTGGGAAATGATGAACTGGAAAGAAAATTAGAAATTTCAAGACTGTATCATAACAGAAAAATATAAAATGCCCACAAGGCAGGTGGGGGGAAAAGCAGTGGTTTTGGATCTGCTAGGGAAAATACAAAAAGAAAAAGTGTGTGTCTATGAAATAAATCTTAGATTATTAAAAATAATATGTAGAATATATAATACACACACACACATATGTATGTATATGTATGGGGGGCTGAGAGGCATCCTGCCATATTAAAATGAGACCTGTCACAGCCTTGGCTTCATGAGACCTAGGGTCACACAATGCCACCTGAAATCTGAAATGCTGTTCCAGGAAGCTGGGACGATCAGGCTAACACAGGCACCCGTGGACTACTGTCCAGGCTGGTACCACGCCACGATGGTGGAGAAATCTTACTACTTGTACTACCTCTTCCACGCAGCTATTTAGTTCTTCACTTAGAGCTTCTTTTTCTTTCAGCAGTCTTTCGTTGTAACTTAGAACACTAGAAATTTTTTGCTGGAAGTCTGAGAGGTCAGGACACCTGTGCAGCTGTAAGAGATACACAAATGAGCTCTCCATGGCCTCATGCCTGTATTTACAGAGAGGTACAGTATTTATAAACAGCACATTTCCATGGCTGCTGAGATTTCCCTATCTGGATATTTCAGAGGACCTATAAACTCTACAGACTAGAATTAACTTTAACAAACTCTTTCCCTCTGGCTTCTCTCTGTGCAGATGGACACAGAAAGACATCGTTAATGAGGATCCTAGCTTTCCACTTAACCTTCAGGGTAGAATGACACACTGACATTGTGCCACCAATCTAACCTGCGCACATTGCATTTTCATCATGCTTTTTAAACTAGAAAAATCTCCTCAAAAAATCTCAGTCAAGACTAAAATTGGCAGGAGCCACATACAAGGTAACAGCACGAGGGCAAGGACAAGGGTAAAGCAGTGTTTTTCAGTTTGTTCCATGTGCCCTTCCTTGGAAGGTGCCTAAGTTGATTGCTGGTGGGGACATGCTGGCTTCCTCCACTCTACTGCAGGGGATCATGGCAAAGCAGATGGTTTTTGTTCCTTTTCAGCATCAAGTACTGGTACTACTGGAAATCTTGGACTCAGTAATTGTTGGGGGAGGTGGCTGTCCTGTATATTATAGGATGTCTCACATCATCTCTGGCTTTACCCACTAGATGCCAGTAATATTACCACCCCCATTTATGAAAACCAAAAATGTCCTGGGGTCGGGAGCAATCCTCACTCCCCAACCCTATTGAGAACCACTGCTTTAAAGAAGCTGTTTCTTACACTGTGCAACCCTTTCTCATAGTTCATGAAAGTTTTAACTTTCTTCCCTTGCACTTAACCTTCACATCTTCAATTCTTATCATTATGATATGGCCATCTTTCTACTTCCTACCTGAAATTCTTTTACATTTTGCTTTAGAAATAGGACAAAATAGTTTACCAGCTGAATCTTGTCTCCAACTGCAATAAATCCAACATATCTACAAATCTGAACAAATCAGAGGCTACAGGAAAATGTATTTTGAAGGAACTGACATTGGTATAAGGAATGCCCTCCTCTACCCACTACACTGCCAACCCTGTAAGAAAGCTTGTCACCAATTTGGGGGGTCTACTGAATGGCTATGCAACTTTGCACATGCTGTTTGTGTTTCTTTTCAGTTCAATAGGTAGCACAGTGATACCATAAGTCATGGTATAACACGGAGTAGCACTCATGAGAGGCCAAGCTGCATGATAACAATGATGGGCTGTCACTACCTTACTCAAGTGTCCTGGTGCCCGATGAAGCAACTTCCTACCTGAGCCAGGCAAATCTCACTGTTCTTCCATCTCACTGTCTATACCAACGCCTCTAAAAAATATGTAACAAAATGTGCTGCATGATGTTCTCATCATGTTACTTCTCTCCCAATTCCACTCTTTTCCTTCTCTTCTCTAGCTTAGCAATGTTACAAAGAACCCACTTCCCATGCTATGTTTTGGGAACTTGTTACTGTCTCCAAGACTGAACAACAGACTTTCAAAATGTATGGGAGAAAGGCTGGCCAAGTTAATTTAGCATAAAGCTAGTAATGACAGCTTTGGGATACTCAGGTACCACAGAAAGGTCCTGTGAGTTTTAACTTCTGGCATGCTTGTGTGGGACAGTTTCTCTAGTTACAGCAGAATTTGACTAAGGTTCTTATAAAGCACCTGCTGGGTGTCAGGACTGTATGGGGCATCACCAGAGACACATTTTATAATCCTATTAGGTAAAGCAAGATTTACATGAGTCAATTAGAGATCAACACAAACAAACTAGATTCAATGTTTTAGCATTCAGGACAAGAACACATTCATGCTTACAGGCCGGACAGATTTAAGAACAAATATTTTATAATCTAAGGGTTTAAAGATGCCATAATTTGTGTGTGGGTGGGTGGGTGGGGTACTGGGGATTGAACCTAAGCCTTACCACTGACCCACATACGCAGCCTTCTTTAAAAAAAAATATTTTGAGACAGGGTCTTGCTAAGTTGCCCAGGCTACACTCCAACTTTTGATCCTCCAGCCTCAGCCTCCCACGCTGCATGGATTACAAGCACGCAGCAACCACCAGGCTCAGCTAGGGTGCCATTCTATTAAAGTAGTCTGAGGATGGAGTAAGTGAATAAAATGGAACTAAATTCTACAAATCAGTGTTGTTCCAACTGAAAGACTCCTTCCTGTACATAATGAAAAGAATAGAGTAAGACAGTGTTTAGGGCATAATTTTGTACTCCTTTATACTTAAAATTAAGCCTTTCTTTGGAACTCTGAAAGCCACATTTGTGAGAGTAGATCCCTGACAGTGCTGTGGAGTATATTCTGCTTATGTCAGATGCTTCAAACTTGCTACCAGGAGGAAGTTTAGTTACTTTATCACCTGGCTGGGAGAAAGAACAACAAATTTCTTGAAGTAGTTGGGATTCATTTATAGTAACGGATTTTAGAATCTATAACTCAAGTTATAGAACTATAGAACAAAATATGGAGAATTTGCAAGGGAAGCCTTTGTAAATAGACTTGTACTTCAAGTCCTCAACTTTTCTAAGCACTAAGGTGGTTGACAGGACTTGAGCCACAGGACATTAGGTGGCCAGAAACATCAGACCATCAGCTCTGTGTTGCTCCATGAGCCCCCTGAAAGAGCAAGCAGCCTTACTTGTTTCGTTTTCTCCAGTTCATCTTTGAGAAGGAGGTTTTCCTGCTCCACAACGTGGGTCTGTATTTTCACCTGAGAAAGTTCTGCTTCCAGAGAAGACACCAAAGTGGAAGACTAAGAAGAAAATAAAAAAGTCAGAGAACAGACATATTCACACAGGCCGGAGGAACTGACTAGGTACACAAAGGTAACATTACAGAAACAGTAATACTGATTCAACAACAGCTGTTTTATGACCATTTATCCTGTTCCATGGGTTTCCCCACTGTTATCTCTTGTGTGTGTGTGTGATACCAGGGATCGAACTCAGGACCTTGCGTTTGCAAGGCAGGCAACAGCACCACTGAGCAACATCCCCGGTCCTACCCAATGCTATCTTCGAGGACTTTCTAAACGGCCTGAATAGGATTACTAAGGTTGGTTTACATGTTTCTCCACCGTAAGGTTATTTTCTTTTGGGGGAGACACTCTCAGACTACGCCAAGCCTGTTCCTCCTCAAACTCCTGTGTATTAATTTTAGTGTCTGTCCATGGATTTTGGCTATAATACTTAGCTGTTTGCTTAAGGATGGTTTTCTGTTTTCTTCTTTCTACATTTATTAGATTTCTGTAAGAAAGAGCTGTTGTTTGTCCCCCAGTAATTTAACCAAATTTTATGTTAATATGGACTTAGACATTTATTTGATTTTGTATTTTATAATTATATTTGCTTTATTCTACGCTTCCTTTATCTTGTTGATCAAACTGTTCAAGAGCTCCTTGGGGTGGAAGGGGTCTGTGTTCTTTTGACTTGTCCCTTCTGTTTTTTAAAGCACATTTTTCTTCTTGGCACCATGAGATGTTCTGGGCTCGCCTTGTATTTTCTCAGTCCCAGCTCTGTAATCTATTATTTCTCCAAGGAATCCTGGTTCCTTTGGTAGGAGAATGGTGTTTAGAAACCAAGATCTGGTATACCCCATACAGATACACAGCGCTGTGTTTCTGTGTCTGTCTGGCTCTGTATCTATAAAGACACCATGAGTCTATACTAGTGTCTCAGATCCCAGACCGACAGTAGCCTTCACAGCCACTTCCTTCTCCAGCAGTGAGAAGTCCAGCTCTTTCTCCCTACAATAGAGTTCCTTCCTTGTTCAATTCTAGGGCATATATAAAGCAACTATAGGACTACTAACTCATACCCCCAAGAGAATCACAGTTAATGATTAGATTATTCCAGCATTTACGTACAGTTCTTTTTTTGTCTTTAGCCTGGACAACAGTTAGTCAAGATACTAATTTCCAAATTACATTTTTTTCTTCCCCAGTGTGGTATATTAGTCACATTCTTAGATTTGGTTGTTAATGTTTGTGTTCCGTTTTAATATTCTGCCCCAGCCCCCAATCTTTTTATTTTTTAATTTTATTTATTTTTCCCCATTAAGTTTATTGGTACATTTTAGGTATAAAATACAGTTACATTCATCATTGGGATCTTGTACCATTACATGGGTCTCTTGGTTCTTATTTTTTTTCCCTCTTCCCTTGCCCTCCCCCTTCACCCCCTCCAGCCTTCCCTATTTGCAAAGACCTTGTTTCCATTTTTTTCCTCTTCTCATATTTTTTCCTTTCCCTTTTTTCCATTCCCCTACCCCTCCCAATTCCCCTGCTCTTTTAGACCTTTTTTTCCTGTTACACAATATCAGTTATACATTTTTTAAATTACAATATTAAGATCTAGGAGACATTACCACAGATTTTACAGAATTTAAAAGGATATAGAAAGCATATTACAAAAATCTTTTTTGAAATAAATTTGACAACTTCTAAGAAGTACCTTGGAAGACAAATTAATGAAACTAACTCTGGAGGAAATATAAAATTTGAACAGCACCTATTAAAGAAAGTATATTCCTAGCTTGAAAACCTACCTATATGACAACAGCAGGCTCATAAACACTTTAACTGATGAATTATATCAAACAATTAAAGCAGAAAAAAGAAGGAACACTTCTCCCCTCATTTTAGGAACTCAACATTGTCCAGCCCCCAATCTTGATTGTTTTACTTGTGCATTTATTTTGAGAGTATTTGAAGACTGTGTCACTGAGCTACATGCCTCGTTATGTTTCAGAGCACCTGCCTAGCCTGCCCGAGGCCCTAGGTTCATCCCTCCCATTGAGAATCCCAGCCATATGCAAAGATAAACTCAGAGAAGTGCCATGCCCTTCCTCATCGCTTTGGCTACATTCCCATTACTCTGTCCCTCGCTTTCCCACCATCTTCTATTAGGTAACAATCTTGTCCATTTCTGGTTTATCATTCTGTATTCTAGACTTTCTGTTCCATTTATCTATCTGGAATGGATATTAATGTACTACTACCATACTGTTCTAATTATTAAGGCGTTGTGGATAAGAACTTTATTATGAGCATTTCTTCCATTTCTTTGTATTTTCTTAAAAAAAAAAACAAACCTATGAGGTGGCATTGATCATACCTGTACTTTATAGTGTTCTAGCTCTTTTTTCAGATTAGACTTTTCTTGTTCCCATTCCTTGACTGTACTGTTTCCTGGCTCTTTTTCCTTCTGGCATAGCATTTCTGCCAGACGTTGATTAAGTTCTTGCAGTTCTTCCTGGTTTTGAGAATTCTTTTGGCTAAGTTCTATATTTTCTGAATCCAACTGTTGGTTTTTGATTTTCAAATCTGAAATCTAATTAAAATTGAAATAAGTTTTAAACACTTCTTACCCTACTTCTGCTAAAAGACAGATTTAGAGTCTATTTTTCCCTTTCTATGTAAAGTTTTAAAAATGTATGCATGTAATGACAGAAGTACTATATATTCATTATTACAAATTCAACCAATCCAGAAGTGTTTGAAGAAGTGTGACACCAGTCTAACCCCAATGAACAGGGCATGCAACTAGATCATTTTCTATGCATATACAAAACCCATATATACATGGAGGTTCTGTTTTTATTTTAGAAAAAAAATTGGATCATTCCATATTTGGGCAGCCCATTTTTTCCCCTCATAATATCTTGCAGATGCTTATCTTTTTCCAAGCTGGTGTGTTCAGAAACCACCACATGCTATATTTTTAGCAGCAATAGGATATTCTATGTAGCAAGATTTTCCATAATGCATTGATCCATTCTTGCATTCATAGGAATATAGGTTTGTCACCATTATTTCCTTTAATTACGAAGAAACAAAATGACCTATTGGAAAATCCACTTACACATGGTAGCATTTTGCATTTAGGATCTTTTTTTTTAAAGAAGTGGGGTTACTAGGTTAGAAGGTATGGATACATATTGTTTTGAGGGATAACCCTAAAAATGTCTTCCTTACAATGTTACCAATTAATCTCATCAACGATTTATTTCTCATTTCCTCATACCCTTTTCAATCCTGGATGATATCAATCTTTAATTTTTTTCTAGCTCATCAGGGGAAAAAGGAATCTCATTTAAATGGGCCTAATCACTATGAGGCTAATCATCTTTTTATATGCTGTGTGTTTTGATGATTTCATCATTCATATTGATTGCCTGTTTTCAACTGAGTTTTGCCATTTATTTGTAAGAGTACCAAATAGGTTTTGGATATTGACACCTTGGCTATTTCAAGTGCTGAAAACATTTCTTTTCCCAGTATATCCTTGTCTTTTGACTCTTTCACACATACTCTTAAATGGCCTTCCTGTATTCCACTGGATGTTGTAAGATTATATAAAATGAGCATTGAAATAAGCCATCTGAATAAATCATAATTCTGCAAAACGATATGCTGATTAGCTGGCAGTCTATATCTGTGGAATTCTATCCTTGACTTTCTGCTTTTAGTCTAGTGAGAAAAAAAGGAAGGAGGTAACATTAGTAGAAACTACACAAGCTAGTGTTCACAGGAATGGTACAGAAATGCCACCTCCCCATTCCCACTGGCTGTAAGGCTTGTCTTAAGCACTGAGGGTTTAGAAATAGTATATGTATTATTTTCCAAAAAACAGCAATCTAATTTAGATTCAGTATGAAGTTTTCATTTTTTAAATTCAGAAGTTACAGGCTGATATCATTAGCAATGTATTCTAGTAATATATTTACTTTTTATTTCAAATAAAAAGAAAATTTTAGAATCAAGAAATATAGGAAAATACTTTTTCTTTACCTGTTTCTTTAAATTTTCAACCATCTTCTGAATTTCCACTTTTTCCTGTTCTACAGTTTCTATTTTCTGCCTAAAGGAACAATGAAAATGTAATTTAGGAGTTAGGTTTTAAAAATTGAAGTTAAATAGCTTTTTAGTTTTGGTTAAATGTCTTAAGAAAATTTAAGTGTACTATGTCTTACCACAGTTCTTCCTGAGATCCATTTAATTTCAGGTTAGAAACGCTATCTTCTTCGTTTAAAGTAGTAATTTCACTTCTCAAAATAGAATTTTCCTCTTGAAGCTTTTCAGATTCATATCTGAAGTACAGAGATATATAAAAAAGACTTACAACAAGGCAGTCATCTGGCATCTTTGGAAAATATTTTCTAGTAACTTTCAACAAAGTAAGTATTCCATGCCAGTCAGAAAGAGAAGTCTAAATTAGTAGTCTCTTAGTACTTGGAAATTAACTTATGACATACTGACTCATTTCTGTGGGGAAGTAGGAATTTTGCTAAAAGACGTCAGGAAAGTATGGCTACAAAAATGTGAGCATGAAGACAGGGCTTGAGACGAATGCCAAGTCTGGCTGTTGGTTTTCTTTTTTTGTTTGTTTGTTTTTTGAGTCAGGGTCTCGCTGTGTAGTTCAGGCTGGTCTTGAACTCACTATGTAGCCCACTGGCCTTGAACTTGTGGCAATCCTCCTGCCTCAGCCTCTCAAGTGCTGGGATTACAGGTATGCACCATGCCCGGCTGGTTGTTGGTTTTCTTAATGGCTGGCACATTGCTTTGAGCAACAATTCCATTTATCTCAGCCTCCTCATTCTGAACACACGTAACCTGCATTACCAAGATGCATGAGCTTTTATTTGGGGCCTCTAGGTACTTATAGAAAGAAAACTTAATACATAAAGGGCCACACTGAAATACATATACTATTCACTTTCTGACTTTAATCACATTCTGGTATTTTGAACTAAAAATGGTCCCTGAAAGAGGAATAACTACATTCAGAATTAAATAATTTTGTTTCATGCCATTAATATACTAAAGATATAATGTAACATTTTACCAAGTTTTTCTTTTAAAAACCAATTTTGCTAGCAGACTAATGCAAACAGATTTCATACAAACAAGTGAGTATGGTTCCAATTGTTTCTGCCTATGTCTTTATTCTTCAAGTGCATTTATTAGACTCCTGTGGCTACTTGGTAAAATTATATGCTCTAAGATAAATTTTCATTGTTACAGGGTATCAGCATGCACCTTAAGTGATATAAGAACTATTTTTTCTATATTAGTGTAAGAAGAGAGTTCTTAGCTACCAAGTGAGTTAATAATACACAAAAGGCATTCATTCACTCTTGTATGTTTCATCCACATGAGTAAAGTAACACTGAGCAAAATAGCATCTCCAAACGCAGCAAATGCTAGAAGGGAGTGAAGGACGCAGGCTGACGATGCGTTGGTTAAATAGCACACATTCGCCATGTTGAACTTTCACACCCTTTATGCACAACATTCATTTGCTATGAGGAAGGGAAGGCCTCCTAGCGAGGTTATTCTACTTGTTAATATGACACAGAAGCAGAAGGAGGTCTAGGGTACCACTCTCTTCTTGAAGACTAATAGGTTAGTTTCTCTAGGCAGGGAAGCAGCAGAAGTTAGAGTCGATCGGGTGCTCTGCAGGGTTCTGTGAGGCCTAGGACATACATACATTACCTGAGAGCTTCAACTTTCTGCTGCATCTCACTGCATGTGCTTTGCAAGTCATGCATCATGGCCTTCAGCTCTTCCTCCTTCTCCGCTTGACAAGGGACATCTCTTTGCTTAACTAATGTAGTGACTCGCTCCCTCAGCTTTCTAGTCAGCTCCTGTAGCTTTTGTTTCTCCAATTCTAACTCTGCTATTGTGGCCTGACGTTGAGAATGTTTGTCTTGAAGGCCCAGGAGAGCAGAGTTTCCCTCTAGGATAACCTGATTCTGTGTTCTGGGCTTTTCTTGATGTGTCTCAACTGTTCTGTGCAACCAGGCAATTTCATGTGTTTTGACTTTTTCTAAGAGCTGCGTGGCTCCCTGCTCAAGGCACTGGTTTTCTTGTTTGCATTCTTCTATAATGTGGTGTACTCTCATAACCTTGGGCATGCCCTTTTCCAGCCTCTGACTGAGTTCTAGAACCTGTTCTGCAGCTTCGACCTCCAGGTTGTCCAAACGGGCTTCCCAGAAGGAGTCGTCACACTGCAGGACTGCTCTTTCCTGCAGCTCCTCAATCTTCCCTTGGAGCCTCAAAACCAGAACATTCAGCTCTTTGTTTTCTGTTCTGACCTCATCATAACTCTTTTCCAGGCTAAGGTATGTTTCGGTCATGTCTTCCGCTTTCTTTAGCTCATCCTGCAACTGGAACACTTCTGCAGTGAGCTCTTTGTTGCTATCCAGAGCCTGGTCGTAGCGAGTCTCCATCACTCTCAGCTCTTCCTGAAGGCAGTCGTTTTCTCTGCTAGCATCTTCATACAACAACTTATACTTGGGAAACGCCTCTGGAATTCTCTCAAGCATCTTCAGTTTCTTTTTTAGTATAGAAACATCAAAAAGCAGGTCCTGCTTCTTTTCAGAGGCTCGGTCACAATCTGCACGTAAGATCACCAGCTGCTGCTGAAGCTGACTAATCTGATTTCTAAGATCCCAGGATTCAGTCCTGGTCTCTTCACTGTTTTCAAGCTCGGAAAAACTCTCCATGGAGGCTTCAGACACTTCAGTCTTGAGCCCCTGTCTCTGAGCCGAGCTCGTCTCAGTACTTCCCAGGTCCCGGGCCTCATCGACCTGCAGGTCATTTAGGACGGGCCTCGTAGTTCCACCATCTACTCGCTTCATTCGATTTTGCAACGAGAAAGGCTCTGATTTTTCCACAGAATTTCCAAAAGGCTCAGTAGCTGGCTCCTCTAAACAGGATGACATTAGTGACTCGGGCTCTAGTTTTTGCAGCCTCTGTTGCAGTCTGGAAATCTCAGCAGCCATTGTCACGTTCTCCTTCACTGCGCGTTCGTGGGCTCTCTGCAGGCTCAGGAGGACGTCTCCGTTTTCCTCCAGCAGCTGCTCCCCTTGCTGAACCAGGGACAGGGCTCCATCTCCTTCGGCCTCCTCCCTTCCGCTCGCCTGGCAGCCGCCCTGAAGCCCGGAGGCGGGAGATGCTGCCCGCTGCAGGTCCTCTACCTCCTCCCGGAGCCTGCGGATCTCCGCGCCCATCTCTGCCCGCTGTCGCTCTGCCCTCTCACGGGTGGCGCAGTGCGCGCTCTCCACGGCCGCTAGCCTGCTCAGCATTTCCTGCTTCTCCCAGTCATGTTCCTCACGTAGCCTCTCCAGCTGCCAGCTGGCCAGCTGCTCCGAGGCCCCCACCTGGCACAGCACCTGCTCTCGGCCCCGCAGTTCTAGCTCGTGACTACTCTTCAGCTCGAGGATCTGGCTGGACAGCAGGCTCCGCTGCCTCTCGGACACCTTCCGGAGCTCTTCCAGGTCTTGCAGCAGCCGCTCTCTCTCCAGCACCATGCTGTTCAGGTGTTCTTTGTATGTCTTCTCCAGCATCTCCCTCTCTTGGGTCAGGACCAGAGAGGTAGCTTGCTCTCTCTGTAGCGTCTCCTTCAGCCGTTCCTGTGCCTCCGCGCACTCCTGGGCCAGCTCGTCCTTCTCAAATTCCCACTGGGATCTCTCCTCCCGCCGCTGTTCCCGCAGGTCCTGCAGCTCTCGGCGGTGGCGCCCCTCCAGGCTTTGCAGCGCGTTCTCACACCTCGCAGCGACTCTCTCACGGTCAGCCTGAAACTGGGCTTCTATCTGAGAGGCTCTTCTATTACACTCTGTTTCCATCTCTTCCCTAAACGTGGTCAACATACAGCATTACTGAAACTGCTGCCAACTCCGGAAGCAAACAAAACATTCCCCCATGCAGACAGGAGGCTGCCAAGCAAACAACTGAAATGCTTTCTAAACATGGTCTTAGCTTATTCCTTTGTGGTCCATGTGGCTGGCAGGGATCCCATTTCTGAGAGCTAAGACTGCCAGCCACAATTAGTGTGCAGACTTACCTCTCTCGCTTATGAACCAAATTCCTTAGCATATTCTTGGCTGTACTTTTGGATTTTTAAACCACAGTCTTAAACTGGTATTTCATATTAAGTGATCAAATGCATACTGACCTAACTCCTAACTCAGGAAATACATTGTATGTGTGTTATACTGGGGACTGAGCCCAAGAACACTCTACCACTGAGCTGTATCTCCAGCTCTTTATTTTTAGATAGGGTCTCACTGGCCTCCAGTTTGTGAGCCTGCTACCTCAGTCTCTTGAGTAACTGGGATTATAGGTGTGTACCGCCACACCTGGTGTACCATCCCTTCATTTTTAGCAAGCATACAGTGTTCAATATGAGTCCCATCAATCACATATATGAACACATTCATTCTGAGCCCTTGAATGTACTCGAGATTTCACACGAGGGAGGTCAGCACAAAGAACCATTTCATAGCTCCAGGAGGAACTGTAACTTTGCCCAGAATCCAGCTTATACATAGGTTTTCTCAGAAAGCAACAGGGTGGAACTAAGAAGGAATCATTCGGGAACATACTTGTTTTTTTTTTTTTTGAGACAGGGTCTCACTCTGGATTTCAGGCTAGGCTTCCACTATGTACCCGAGAGTGGCCTCAAATCCACATTGATCCTCCTGCCTCAGCTTGAGAGATGACAGCTACCACGGCCAGCTGAGATACAGTAAACCTTAATACCAGGAATGCTTTCCTCTTTTTAAAAAAACCAAGCAGTCCCAGTAACCCCAAAGCAGATTCATGTGTGCACTAGGACAATCCTGGCTGAAAATTCCAAAAAGACTCAACTCACCCCATGAGCTACTCTGTAGATGGGTTTACCTGGCACACGTAACTTCGGTAGGCCTGGGTTGCCCCAGTCCCTCACTTCCTTACCGTCCCTCTTGAAGTTCCCTTTGGTGCTTTTCCGAGAGCTCTCACCTCAGCTCCTCTTTCTCAAGCTCGTGCTTCTCCCCCAGGTTCTGCAGCTGCTCCCGGTGTGCCCGCTCCAGGTCCTGCATCAGGCCCCGCACCCTCTCCTCCGTCCAGGAGCTGCTCCGGAGTCCTTCCCTCTCCTGGCTGAAGCCCTCCTCCACCTGCTGCAGCCTGGCCTGGAGCTCCAGCTGGTGCTGCAGCCTCAGCTCCTCCCGAAGGTGAGTCTTTTCCTCCTCAAATGCTGTTTGCAGTTGTTTCTTCTCCACCTCATGCCTGAGGCTGGTCTCGTGGTGTATGTCCTTTAGCACCTCCGCCTGCCCCTGCAGTTCTGTGATTTCTCTCCTCAGGTCACTTATCTGTTGTTTCAAGGTGTGCGTACCATGCTCATAGTTTTCCTTCATGGTCTCCTGCTCCTTTTCCCAGGTGACCCGGGTCTCAGCCAGCCGCTCTTCATAATGGTGCACCTAAAATCAGAGCGTGAAACCACCACATGATTATTCTAACTCTGGCATGGTGGGGACAAGTGCTTCTGTCCTACAAGACATTTCTTCCATTTCCTCATTTTGTTTAAAGGTAATTTAATTCAAAAGCACCTGAAGTAAGGTGCTTAATTCAGACATAGTTTGCTTTTATTTGTTGACTTGAATTTTACTAGTTTCTGAACAACTCTATTAAGACCTGAGCAGACCCTCACACATAGGTACCCTTTGTCTTTCCATGATTCCTCTTCAACTGCAAACTGAGGGTCTTAAAATATGTAATTAAATTCAAGTATTTAATGAACTCCTATAAGGTATTCTGCAGGCTTTAAGGGATCACCAAGTGGGTAAAACAGTATCCCTGGTATTCAGGAGGAGCCAGTGTGGAAATGAGTATGACAACTATACACTACAAGGCAGAACACAAAATATAAAAGGTAAAGGAAGCAAAGAGCTACAATGGGACCAGGGAACCAAAGGAGAGAAAAATGGTATTTGGTGATTCAAATACGGCTTCATGGAAGAGGAAACATTTGCTATAAACTCTGAAGGGAAGGGGACTTTTGAGGGAAAGAAAGAAATCATAATAGCACGAGCAACAGAGACCACAATTAACAGGGAAAGCAAACCACCCAGTCAGGCTAGAAGATCAGGCAACTCATGCAAGAGTGAAAGAGAAGATTGGATCCACAGGTGAAGGGTGGGCAGGCCAAGGATCACAGCTTGTATCTATTTTAGTTAGGCTACATCAAAAAGGCTTTTTTTTTTGGTTTTATTAAGATGGTTTTTTTAGCAAATTGGAAATAACCTCCTCCAAGTGTTTGGTCCTACGTACATTTTGGCGGAGCTCTCAAGAGGAAAAGGCCTTGCCCTCAGCCCAAGGAAGTGGGTTCCTGGCGGCCACCAGACACAAGAAGAAATGCAGAGAAAGAGTCATTCGATGAGAAGAAACAACTGGGAACTTCTCGTGTGCCAATGGTGGTCAGAGTGCAAAGAAAGTAGGACTGGATTGGCAGGAGGGACTTACTTGATCTTCCAGCTCCTGTCTTAGGCAACACAAGTCCCTGTGGTGTTGCTCTTTCATCTGCTCGATCACCAGCTCTGCCTCGATGCTCATATTCAATGGATTGCACTCTTCAGACTCAAGCCCTGAAAACACATAGGACCCATGGATCCTACAGCAAGTTCTTTCACTAACACAACTGGCCTCTACAGAGGGGCATCTGGTTTACCTGAGGAATAATTTTCAGCCTGAAATGCCACAGATGTGAGCTACCAGGAAACAATAAAAGCCAATAAGTCCTTTCTCTTTTACAAGTAGAAATGAAGGTGAACAGATTTTTCTCTTGCACAGGGAGTGGGTCAAACTTTAATAATGCCATCTTTCTGCACAGTAGGTAGGGGTGGGGGTGGGAATTGCTGCTGAAAGTGAGCCCCTCTTCATGCCACATGCGTGTGGTAGTTAGGTCAAACCAACCAGCCTTCTATCCATCCAGCTATTCCTAAGTGACAAACTAGCAGAGGGAATGAATGGCCAGCATACTTACTGCTATACTTTGAAGGGTTAACTTAATGGGTCAAGATATCCAGCCTATCACTCAACAGTACAGAAGGCTGGGCATTGACATATGAGTTTATCAGCTAAAACACAGGGTGCAGGTTAGGAATCAGGATACGGGCAGTGTGGATGGAAGTTCTCAACTTGCCCATGAGTTTACCTCTGTAGCTACCCATGAGGACTGAAAATGGGCAAATTAATGCAAAAACAAAAATATTATGTGTACTATTATGTAGAAATCCCTTAGGGAAGGGAGACCCAAGATAGTCTATTTCACACAGGCAGGTGGGAGGAAGGGGTTCTTCTTGGCCACAGGTCTTGCAGCTGGGACTCCCTGACTTGCCCTGGGGTTTGTCTGCCTATACTGTGGCATATTTCCAAACAGGAAGCCACACAGGGGTGTAACTCACCCCAAGACAGTGTGGCTTCACAGGTGTGTGAAGAGCACGCCCAACACTTGTGTGAAAAAGGTTCAGAGACATAACATAGCCAGAAGGCTTCCACCGTGACTAGAGTGAGGGAGCCAGAATCAGAGAACAGGGCTCACGGCCTCTTCGGGTCCCCTTCTTTAATCGCCTACTGGTTCTACAGTAAATACACGAAGAGGAATAAACCACCTTCCTATGAACCATACTCTCACCCAAGTAGTGGTGCTGGGCCCTTTCTGAAATTCAAACCCAACGCCACCCTAGAAAAGAGAAGCTATCAGGAGGGAGGAAAGAGCTAATGTGAATGTCCGATGGTTCCCCTTCCAACATTGTCACTCGAAGGGAATGGATGACCAACCCTTATTTATCTTGTTTCTGTTTTATAAGAGCAATATGAACATTTAGCAGAGCCAGCATAAGGAAACCAGTTACGGCTTCTGTGGTCTGTGGCCAGCACACTCTCCAAAACCATCTTCATACCAGTGAGGTGCTCTCATAGAAGGGGGGGTGGTACCAGCACGAACTGTGTCTGGATTCTGTTGCTCCAAAGGCCTGGGTTCTCCAATCGGCAGACAGTTTGTTTTAAAGCAAATACCCTTGTGGGTTTTTTCCCCATTCTTTTGTGGATGAATATAAAAATCAGATGAAAATATTCTTATAAAGACTTCAAGAACAAATGTGGAATGAGACCACAAGTGAGACAACTCCATAAGAGTGGTGCCAGCCATCCCCCCAGCCACCCAAGGTCGCCAGTTTTTTTGCAATTTTACATTCAGCCCTGGTTCTAAAATCATGCAGAGACTGAAAAGATGGTGTCTGAATATGTTTACCCTGACCGGGCTCAAGGCCACTGTTGTTAACATCCAGTTCTTCTGACAGTGAGTTCTTCAAGGGGAGCTTGAACACTTTGCCTTGTGCACGGTATTCTTCCAGCTCAGACTGGAGTTCGTCTACTTGGTCTTGTAATACCTAGAGTTTAAAAACCACCACAGGTTTTAGATGTGACACCAGAAACACAAGCAACAACAACAACAACAACAAAAATAAATTACACGTGGTCATTAAAAAAAATTGGGGGCTTCAAATAACACCATGAAGAAAAAGATCCCATCAAATATGAGAAAAGTTTTGCTAGTTACATATCTAATAAGAGACTTTAACTACAATGTATAGACTATTACCACTCAATAATAAATGCAAGGCACTCAATTTTTAAATGGGCAAATTATATAGTTATTTCCCCAAAGAAATTATACAAATCACCAGTAAATATATAAAAAGATCCCTACATCATTAGCTATCAGGGAAATGCGAATAAGAACCCTGATGAGATGCCATTTCACACCCACCAAGATGGCTGGAATACAAAAGACACACACAGTAACGACTGTTAACAGAGACGCAGAGAAACCAGAACTCTACTGGTAGGAATGTAAGATCATCAGCCAGTTCCTCAGAAGGTTAAATGCAGACTCACCATATTACCCAACAGTTTTACTACTATGTAAACATCCAAGAGAAATGAACTGTATCTCCACAGAAATATGCACACACATTTTCAGAGCATTATTCCTAATAGTACCTACAACCCAAAGGGCCATTAACTGATGAATGTATAAACAAAATGTGACATATCTATACCACCTTAAAAAGGATGAAGTACTGATCCATGCTACAACATGCACAAGCCACGAAAGCATCATGCTAAGTGAAGAAAGCCAATCATACACTTTATATTATTCCATTTATATAAAATGAAAGGTTAGGCAAATCTACAGAGATGGAAAATAGACTAGGAGTTACCTAGGGCTATGGAAGGACTGTGGCTAAGCAGAACTGGGGTTTCTTTCTGGGGTGATGTGATGGTAACACAATTGTGTGAATGTAATAAAAAACATGGAGTTGTAAAGTTAAAATAGGTGAAATGTATAGTATGTCAAGCCATTTAAACAAAGTGGATGGATTGGGGGGAGGTAGCACTGATAGATTTTAATGATTAATTCATTAAATTTAAAGATGTTTAAAGCACTCTATTTGATTAAAATCAAAAACTAAGCAGTAGAAATGTTTCCTTTCTTTTCTCAAATAGGCATATGCATTTCCTGAGGAGGTAGGCTGGAAACAACCTTATAAAGAGGTGACTGTTTTCCCCATCTCTGTACGTTGTATCTAAAGCAGTCAGAACTCAAGTTATCTTTACTTTGTCAAACAGGTATTTTTGGTTTAAGAAAAAAAAAAACCCAACTCCTAAGTTAAGGGAGTTAATCTAAGAAAGCAAACAGATTGCTTAATAAGAATGTATCTGTCTCTCCTGGTAGGCACTGAGAATGATTTACTGTCTAAAGACTTGAGCAGTTTCTGCTTCATTTGCGTTGTGTAAACACTGTAAAGGAATCTATTCAGAAAGGTGGGGGAGCCCAAACACACCGGGTCTGACCGAATATGATCGATCAGGAGTGGCTCACTTAGGAATACGCACATCGATGTGACACGTTGTTCTCTCTGAAGCCCCAGGAATTTCTGATCAAGATGAAGCAGACTTAAATGAGGTTTTCAGAAGTCCCTGGAGTTCGGCATGTTGAATACTCATCGTTTTAGCCAACGTCTGTGTAAGCGCTTACTCTGTCCCTGGCTCTGTCCTAAGCACTTTACCCATATTCATTCATTGAATCTTCACAGCAACCCCCAGGTAGGGTACTCTTACTTTTGGCATCTCATCCCCCAGAAGTGGAGGTGCCCACAGGCTTAGGTGACTGTTCATGGCTGCGCAGCCGGGAGGCAGGGAGCTGAGCTCTCACCTCTGCCCCCCTGCATCACCCAATTCTCCCAGCACTCACCCTGCACTGCCGCTCATACTCGCTCCTCATCTGCGTCAGCCTCTCCTCTTGCAGAAAGAATTCAGCACTGCTGGGATCAAGGTCACCAAACTAGAAGGGGAAAGGGGCAAAGCAGTCATTTTTCCCCAGTGCCCTTCTCTGACCTATCACATACCAAATGGTGCAGTTTCTGGTGTTTCTCTGGCTCGTGAGTATGAAAGGAATGTGGCATTTAAACAAACAACAACCGGAAGATGGGGAGGATGATGGATGTGTTCAACTCAGGCCAGGCAGTGTTTCCCCCCACAAGCACCCCACTAAATGGTTCCCTGCAAAAGGCACAACTGTCTTTAGGCACCCAAGTACAGTAACTCCCTAACTGAAATGTTCTCGGCACAGCTCCTGTTCTTCTGAGTGAGTGATATGCTGGGCAGCCTATCAGGGAATCGGACATAGACAGATTTACCTTTTCTGCTATCATGTTTTCCAAATTCCGCTGAAGTTTGTTTGTTAGATTCTCGTACTCTGCCAGCTTCTCTGCATTTTCCAGCAGCTCATTTTCCAGACGACTGTTTTCCTGAAGAAATTTGGGGAAATTCAGTGCGGCATAGATGAAGAAATAAGCAAACTACTGTAGCATTTTATCATAAGCATAAATCATTAAGAAAATGTGTTCATTTGAAAGCTGTAGTATAATTGGAAACACGAGTGAATACAACAAAGTTGACATCTATCTCATAACCCAAAGTCTGTGTTTAAAAGAAAAAATCCTGTAGCACTGTGCTATCCAGTGTTAGTTACCAACGGCCACACGTAGATATTGAGCACCTGGAACATGCTTAGTACAAACCAAACTGAGCTGTAAGTGTAAAATATATACCAGACTTCACAGCCTACAAATACATATAACTCAACAATTTTTGTATATTGAATATATTTCAGAATGGCAATGCTTTGGAAATACTGGATTAAATACATTGATTGAAATTAATTTCACCTTCTAATATGCTATTTGCAAATTTGAAATTACATATGTGGCTTGTTTTATCATTCTACTGGGCACCATTGCAGTAGAATATTGTAAGTGACATGAAAATACTCTCAATATAAAGGAAAGAAAACTGGCTACAAAATAACTTATCCAGCTGCCAGCAAAAGAATTCAGAAAACCTATAAAAAGGAGGTAACTCTAAAATGAATTTTCATTTACTGATCTTACAGTTTACATTTCACTTATGAATTTATTTTGAATTTAAGGCTTTAAAAGCTATACATACAAGTTGTTAATAACTTATGTTTAAGTTATAATAAAATAATACATCGAGTGAGACTTGCAAAACTTTTTTTTCCTTCATTTTAAAGGATCTGTATGTACAGTACTTTTTGGAATGATTTCCACCCCACATTTGTTTAAAAGAAAAAAAAAACATGCCATTTGCCGTATTTTCTTTTCCAATGTTAAAGGCTGATTGGAAGAATGTTACTTTCAAAGTACATTTTGCCAAAAGAATACAGAGCCAAGATATTTTTAATATATTCTAGTTCACACCCTCATGCAGCAATATGGAGTAAAAAAGAATATACTTAAAGCATTAAAAAAAAAACCCCTACCTTCCCCTAAAATGCCAGTTCAATTCCTCTAGTCTTTCAAAGTATATCATCTAAACTTAGATGCTAGAATAATAAGGAGCAATCTGCGTGTCCAGGACCTGCTGTGCTCTGGAAACAGACAAATCAGATACTGTTTCACAGGGAACACTGTGGACTTCAGGAGGGAGCAGATGTGGATATAGCTTGATACAATAATAAATGTACTATCCCCTGGCAACAAAAAAGTAAATACAGTGGGAATGATAAACTGGTATGGACTGCAGTGTTGGGGAAAGCAGTTAAGGAACACAAAAGAGCTCTGTCCCTGGGGAACAGAGAGCTGAAGGAAAGTGCAGGGGGTAGGAGCTGCTGCAGGAGCTGAGGTTAGAAAGCTTGAAGGACGAGCACTCTTTCAGCAGCCTTGACCTCTAGTACTCCTAGGGTACCAGCAGGCCAACAGATCTTTAGCAACTTGGATGGCCAGATGGGGGTAGGGGAGATAGAGAAGAGGACATTTAAGGACATACAAGAATCAGCTGAGAAACCACGATGAATTCAGAGCTTGCTCAGAGGCTGAGGAAATGCAGAGCACGGGGATAAATCTAAGAGGTATTTCAGAGCATCACCACCATTTAGAAACCAATGAGTGATAATGTGTGAGGATAACAGAATTTTAACTTCTGGGACTATGTCTTACAAGGTGGTGATGTTGATTAGGTAGAAAATTCAACAGATGAAACAGCTGAAAGGGTAGGACGTGGTAACTGGCTCAGCTCTTGGTGTGTGGAGTCTCAGGAGCATTTTGTGATAGCAACAGCAGAAAACAGTTCAAATGCACTTATTTTCCAGACACCCTATTTGCATCCTCTGATGGAACCCCACACTAATGCTGAAGCACAGGTGTTACTATAGTGCCCACCGGGACCTTAGAAAACATGTTTGAGTGACTCCACCGTGGGTTTCCAGTACATGTTGGTACCCGGCTCTGAATCAGGCAGCCTTACTCCAGAGCCCCGGTGTGACAGTCCAGGAAAGACAAGGCCCACTTCCTCCACGGAGGCAGAGGAAAGGGGAAGACACGGGCCTCTGTGTGGCAGGAAGTCAGCCCATCTGCCAAGGATAAGGGGAGTGGGCAGGGAAGGAGGACGGACAGCCCAGGGTGTCATCCAGATGCCAAAGAGCCCTGAGAACCCAGCACAACTGCAGAATATATGAAGAATAAGTTATACTGATCAGCTCTCTCTGTACCCGGGGAGCCTGGGGACCCCTGGAATCCAGATCCTAGCAGAGTCCCTGCCATGTGTGGGTCTTGCCCCAGATGGGTAACTGTACAAGAATCCTCACAGTGAGCCCTGTGTGGATGTGGCGTCTTGCAGAGCTGGTTTCCCATGTGGAATCCCCAGCAGGGACCCAAACGCCAGCATGAAAAAGGTGATTTACCTTTAAAGAGAGAGCAAGGCGGTCCCGGGTGTAGTTCTCTTCCGTTTTGGCCTTCTCAATTTCCTGCTCAAGTTCTAGACGCTGCTTGCCCACCTGTTGCAGGATCTGCTCTCTCTCTTTTTGGAGCTCATTCTTTAAGGCTGCTATGCGTTCCTTGTACTCTTCATCCAGTTTCCTGGGAGGAAAGGAAATCTCAGTGGCCATCAGATCTTCTTTGGAGATCCCTATGGGGATCCACCCATAGTGGAGACAGACTATGATCTGCCAGCCTTTCGGCCTGGCCACACCTAAATCTCTGTAGCCCTCGCTGGGCACAGTGGCACATGCCTGTGATTCTAGCACCATGGGAGGCTGAGGCAGGAGGATGGAACATTTGACTCCAGTCTGGGCAATTTACTAAGTGAAAGAAAATCTGTCTCAAAAAACAAAACAAAATAAAACAGAAATCACTGCAGCTTGGTATGGCTGCAGGTAGGCAAAGTGGCCCTTGCTCTGTGCTGGCCCTGTGGTTTCAGATGCCGCTCCCCTGGGCATGGACTTTGCCCTCCAGGTCGTACCTGAGGTTGTACTCATTTCGCCGTTCTATGGCTGCATGGTGATCGTCCACTTCTGAAGCCATTAAGGACTTGAGCTTCTCAGCTTTGTCCAGGTCTGAGCGTAGCTTCTCTTTTTCTCTGACCACTTGTTCAACTCGTTCCCTAGAATCAGAAATAAACTGAGTTAATGAGAAGCTGTTTCTAAGCAACAAGTAGACCCACAAAAGCTCTCATTTGGCTGGCTTCAATGCAAAAACAAAACTAGGACAACTCAAACCTTTCCCAAACAAAAAGGTATTCCATAGTTCCCTTCCAAAGCCTACGCATCAATCAAAATTCCTCACTTTTCTGCAGTGGAGGGAAGATTTGTGCAGTAGTTATATATAGAAGAGGAGCCATGTTTGCATACGGAATGGGAGAGTCTTTATGGAAGGCACCTGAATGACTTGTTGGACAAGCAGGGAATGGAATGGAGCGGGTGACCCTTCGGCTCAACTCACAGCAAATGTCGGATCTCAGCCTTAAAGCTGGCGAGAGCCGCCTGGTGAATACCATTCTTGGTGACCAAAAGTTCATTTTCAAGAGCCAGAGTCAATTCTGTCAAGTTGACATTTCCATCAAGGCTGAAATCCAAGGCCTAGGAATCAGAATATAGCATAAGTTCAAGACAAATCACAAGTTCTTTCTTTTGAAAGGAGAAAAATGTGAAGGTTAGGCTAACTCTGAGAACTGAAGATAGCCTAGGAACTGGGTCACTCCATTTCTTTAATGACTGTTTAGGGACAAACTTCAATCTAGAACACAACTATGTTTTTTCTTAAGGAAAGCGAAACAAGGTAATTTGTAATTAAAAAAATACTAGGGTTGGGGATTTAGCTCAGTGGTTCCGCCGCCTGCTGCGCAAGCGCAAGGTCCTGAGTTTGATCCCCAGTACCAAAAAAAAAATACTATCTGGCACTATAAGTAAACAGAATATAATGCTAATCTTTACCAACCCAAGATCAATTAAGAACATTTCTCATGTCAATAATATGGCAGTTAAAAACATGGAAAGTAGTTAGCAATAGATTCCTGGCTAAAAGGGGTAAGAATAGTTAACTCTTATCTTTGAGATCTTGTGAACAGAATAATCATTAAGGAGAAATCAAATCAAATCACAGAGTTTCAAAAAATTGAAAATTTCAACCCTTCTCCGATTTGCCATCTTTTGTCCCATTTTAGCTGCCATGCCTTTAGGATTTCCTGGCTGTTCTCAATGCCCTCTTCTTGCCAAGTATCAAGGATTCTCTCCACAGATGCATGGCCCATCCCATCATCCAGGCAGGAGAAGACCCGGAAGCCAATGGTGCTTGTCATCACTGATGAGGTCGTCGTACGGCGTCCACTTTCATCAAAAGACTGGAAGAAAGAGAATTGAGCAAACTCAAGGCATACCAGGTATTTCAACTAGATGCTGGTAAAGACAAACTGGCCAGTCCTGACCACAAAAAGCAGAATTTAACTTATACTACTGGGGGTGTGGGCAGTCATACACTGCTTTTGATCCTTGTTCCCCAGGACCTCAAAACCACAAAGATTATTAAAAACAATTGTTCTGAGACAGAGTTATTTGCAATAGACAAAATATGTTTCTGCTTAACACCCTTCTCTTCTGACCCCAAGCTGACATCAACAGGCATAATTAGCAGCCTTCCTAGTCTGTAATTTATGGTCATTTTCAAACCCAACTTTTCCTTCCTAATAGCTGAGTCTTTCTTGTTCTCCTGTTGTACAATCTCCTTGGTATGTTGCTTCAGACAACAGATTAATTCATTAGAATTTATTAAATGGGATCTTCTACTTCTTGTTTATTTACCTGCATGGAGAGGTGCCTCTTCAGTTGTCTGTAAGGAGTAGATGCTGAAGGTGTAAGGGATTTCCCATTTTTAAACAAACCATAGAAAAAATCCTCTACACTCATTGTTCCATCAGGATCAAGATTGTGAAATACTTCCTCAAGCATCTGGAGAAGAGTAATCACATATTTTAAATCTTCACTAAAAATAACACAAGACCCAAAGTACACTTCTGACCCATAGAAATCAGTACCACTGTTGGTCAAGACTCCGGAATTATAATTGTGCCTTTACTCTCAGTTCACTAAATTTATTTCTTCCAGTAATGATCTATCTACTCATACAAAGTAAATAAAAATCTACTTTCAACATCTCCATAATCTTATGCAATTTAGCAATCAACTGTTTTCCTTTTACTCCCACTCCTAGAATAGCTGATCTTTAATTTTTTTACATATTATTTTACAAAATTTTTTTTTAAAACTGCTTAAAAAAAGATATAGCTTCCCAGTGTCATAACAATAGAAATTAGTTGGACATTCATTGTGGTGACTATGTGATACTCATCTTATAATGAAGTTTTGAAATTGGTAGCCTAGCAGAATTTGTTCTGGGACAGACTGTAATGATCTAAGAGAAAGGGTCAGAAACCTATACTTGGGGTTTAGAACCTTACTTAGAACAACACTGAATGTGTTGGATTTTGTTTTAATGCATCAGCCAAGTGAGACAAAAACTGGGTGAGAAGGTTTTGTGCATATGCAATAGAAGGATTCCAAGAGATATAAAGTCAGGGGAGTTGTGACTGGCTATTTCTGAAATAATCATGTAGTTCTTGAGCAGGGTGTAGGTGCACACCTGTAGTCCCAGCATTTGGGAGGCTGAGGCAGGAGGATTGCTGTTGGAGGCCAGCCCGGGCTACATAGTGAGTTCAAGGTCAGCCTAAACTACATAGCAAGATGCTGTCTCAAAAAACAAAACAAAACAAAGTAGTTATCACATAATAGGGAAAGGGGAGACTGGACCACAGCCCTATGTAGACGCTTGTCTGGGAAATGATTTGTTTACTAGCACTACAAAGGAATGAGAAGGGGAATGTAGAGCAAGCAGCATGAATCACTGGAGTCAAAAGAGAAGGAAGAAAGGAAGCAGCTTCTATTGGCAGTCATATTCCCTTTACAGTGGACCCTCGAGTTACGACCAGCCTGGCATATGAACAACTTGGGTTATGACTGGAATTTTAGTTTTAACTTACAACCAAAGTCTTGAGTTATGACCTGAATGCTGGCCGCTTGTGCTTCTGGATGGTCTCAGATACAGATTTAACCCTTAAAGAGTTCCGGAGGGAACATGACAGCATCCTTTCCTGTGTGGGGTTAACTAAGGAATCCTGGGCCAGTGTCTCTCTAAGGACACTGAGATCTGCCTGTGTACAGGAGAGAGACTTTGAAGGCTGTGTAGAGGAGCCTGAGCCTCAAATGACCAACTTGAGTTACAACCAGCCCTCAAGAACGAATTGAGTTCATAAGTCAAGGGTCCACTGTATTTTGTGGGGCAAATTTTTTCTATAGGAATATGCCTACCATGAACAAAAAAGAAACCATGTGGAGAGCTTATAAAAATGCAGACTTGGGCCGGGGATTTAGCTCAGTGGTTTCACCGCCTGCTGCACAAGTGCAGGGACCCGAGTTCGATCCCTGGTACCAAAAAAAGAAAAAAGAAAAGCAGACTTTTGTGTAGGAAGTCTGAGGAAGGGCCTGAGATTCTGCATTTCTAATAAGCCCTCACGTCAGAGTCCAGGCCACTGAACAGGAAGAAGACAGAATAAGCAACATATTTACTCTTGCTGCTTATTGGATTTATCCTAGCAAATAATTGGATTCATTCTAACATAGGCCTAAATTGTCTGTCAACACATCCTCAAATTTTTCATATTCATTTCTTAAATCTGGACTATTGCTGTGATTCATATCGTCTCAAAATTGATTTCATTCTTTATGTAAATGCTCAACACATTTGTCCAAAAAAAATTTTTTTCCAATTCACATCCAATAGGAAACATCTGTTCTCCATTGTACAGCAGACACCCAAGTGGTGGAAATCTCTGGAAGATGCAAAAGTTTCAAACAGAGAATCCTGTGATTGAGTCAATGAAAAGGGCCCTGGGACAAGAGGCTAAGGCGGCTGAGATCTCTCAGCATTTCTGTCTCACTCTCCTCAACTGAAAGAGCACCTTCCTCAAGGCAGCGGCCCCCAGCACCATCAACCAAAAGTTACCAAGAAGCCCAGGTGCACTGGCTTGGGTTAGCAGGGTGCATTTGAGTTCTCAGACCCACGTTGGTTGACCTTGTGACCTTGACCAACTCAGTGCAACTTCCGGCGGCCTTCAACATCCATCACCTGAGCCATTTAAACTGGAGGAGAAGGTGAGTCCTGCCAGTTATTTTGAATTGTAGGTGGGCAATGAGGCGGTGACTGAATGGAAGTGAATTCAGAGGACAGAGCGGGAGAAGAGAACTCAGGTTAAAGGGGCGGCTGGGGCCCCCACAGCAGCCTCCACAGGAGCCGCATCTAGAATAGCAAGGAGACTCTTTCCTCATGACACACTGGCCAGGTCTGTGCGTGGCTGGTTTCCCAATGTGTAACGTGCTAGAACAGAGGTCACAAACCCAGATACCCACAGAGCCCCAGAAGGTGACGGAAATGACTGAGGCGGGATGGCCCGAAGACGTGAGAAAGTGGTAATGATGAGCCAGCTGTGCCCAGAGCTGCTCACCCTCCCCAAAGGAGCCAGCTGTGTCTCCATGTCTGCAAAACAGAGCTAGATCCTTGGATTTTCAGAAAATCTCCTAATTCTAAAACTTGTACCACAAAGTTCAATTTTTAAAACACCAAACAGATCAAATACAATCATCTTCGGGGCCGATGTGGCATCTAGGGTACCAGTTTGCCATTCCTGTCCTATGGCTGTCCTCACTTCAGGAAAGCAAAGGACTGTTACAACCATAGATACAGGCATACCCATGTTTATAGCAGCACAACTCATGACACTACAGCTTGGAAGCAGCTTATACGTCCATCAACAGATGAATGGATAAAGAAAACGTGGTATTTATACTCGATGGAGTACTTCGCCATAAAAAAGGGTAGACTTGAGTCATTTGTAGGAAAATGGATGCACCTTGAGACTACAACGTTAAGTGGAATAAATCAGACACACAAGAGTAAATATCTCATAACTTCTCTTATATCAGAAACTCAAAGTACAGACAATTTTTCAAAAGCAAAATGAAAGACAGACACCAGGAAACAGGGAGATAGAACATTTGTGAGTGGGAAGCGGGTACAGGGGTGGAGGAGAGGCGAAGGGAATACAAAGATTAAGATATGATATGTTAAGTACAAGTACCTACCCCTAAGATGAATGAAAGCATTATGTACTGTATATGTGTACTAATCAAAAAATTTGTAAAGTTATCGAATCGAGTTGTCTAGACAGTGAACGCAGTGACCTCACAGTCTGTACAATGAGGGGTGACTCAGGCTCCAACTGCTTACCGTTGTAAAATTCCAGGAGTCCAAGTTGCCTGTTAAAAGCATCACCTTGAATTTTACCTCCTCAGTAGTGTACAGTTAGTAACAAAAGAAAAATGCTACAGAATCCCATGATTTTTCTTTAGGAGGAAAAACAAAAACACACTATGTCAAAGCCCTGGTTCAGTAAGCAGCACTGTATTCATCCTCGGACCAGAGGAGAACTAAACCGGGCTCATCTGGTCCTGGGTTCAAGGGATGCCACCACAGGAGAAAAGGCAGCTTCCTGGGAGTGGCTACAGTTTATCCCCAGGATTGTTTTTAGAGAAAGAATCCAAGTTTGTGCAATATTTCTTGGCAAAACAACCGGAGGTTCTGTGTGCTGCTCTGGTTTATAAATTAGGAGGGTGAACTTAAGTTTTATGACTCAACTGCCGTGACTGAGAAAATAAGCCACCCCGAGCCATGAAGAAGGTAGTCACATGATGGAGAACAGCCACGTTCATAAAGGAGAAGGGGAACTGTCTGCGTGCTGGGCTCCTTGGAAGCTTTTCGATGAAAATCTCTTTTTTGGTTAGGAAAATAATAGTACTTCTCCCCTGAGCAAGAACACAGCGTGGTTTCAAATAGCCTTATAATCAGAGATTCTGAAGCTACAACTGTAGCCCTACACTCGAACTCTCTCTAATCTTTATTTTTAGCTTTTTGAAAAACATATCTTGGAATTAGTTACATTCTTATGTTTCACAGTTATTTGTACATTTGTTGATCTCCTCTTAATTTTTTTCCCAGAAAAAAATAAAGCTCCAAGTGATCAAGTAAAGACTCTTTTAGCTGGACCCTCGAGATTTTCCTTTGTCTTTCCAAGACAACCAACCTTCTCATCTCCATTTCCTCAAGACCAGAATGTGGTCACAGCACCAGGCCACTGTAACCCAAGCTGTCTTCACACCTACATACGAAGGCAGCTGAGGTCACACTCAGCAAGTTAGCTTGTCCTACACATTGCTCAATGCGTGTGAGCACCCAGGGATGACACTGAGATCTTCCTTCTAAAAACCTAAACTTGTCAGTCTGGGCTTCAAACCCACTCTTCCCCCTTCCCCTTTCAAATCTGTGGGACTCCTGTGAAGCCCTTCCTCCACATGGTCCCACATTTTGCTCTGTGACTGACACCTTTAGGGACACGTGTTTCACGGGGGCTGCACTGTGCTGGTGTCCTGTGGTCTCATGGGTGACAGCCTAACACTGTGAGGGCAGCTACGGTCAGCTTTCCTTTTCTACAACACAAAATCTTTAAGAATGACCTCTGAGGAGAAAATGACCTCGTCACAAGCTGCCTGTTTTCAGCCTGTGGCCAGCTAAGCTTTTATCATCATTACCATCCCTGAACCAAAACACACTGCAAAACTCACCTCTCCATCGACATTCTGCAAACCGTACTGCTCGCAGATGGAGACTAGCTTCTTCCGGTTCAGGTGACCATCGCGAGTGATCCCCAGATCTTCACAAACCTCTTGCAGTTTCTCTTCTATCCAGTCTTGGGGAGGGCAGGACCCACCCTGCGAGGCATTCAAGTCGTCTGGGTTCCAAAACCTTAACTGACCTGAAATCAAGTCATATATAAGGTATGATCAAAAGATATAGTATTTTTAAAAAAATCATTACAGTAAAAAGCACATCGCCATTAACCACCCCCATGGCCCTCACCCCAACTTAAACACACTTATCCCATTGGCCTTGCCACTTCCTGAAGCAGTTCAGGAAGTGCTCTTTTGTGAGTGTCTCTGAATTGTGCAGTCATGGCTGCCCTGATGTTCTGAATCAAGATGTTTACCATTCACGATCTTTCTGACTTGGGGAACAGCAGAAGTCTCACAGTGGTAGAGCCAGTCAATAAGGTAGATGAGGACACATTTTTACAAGCTTGCCTTTCCACTGAATGGCACCTGGCAACAGCACTCACCGTAGTTTTGATCATAACTCATAAAGACACAAAAGAGACATCCAGAACTGCTCCAGAAAGTGGCAAAAACAATGGGATAAGTGTGTTCGAAGTGAGCATTCATGGCAATGTGTCTTTCACTGTAACAGATTTCAGAAATGTAAACATTCACCATATATTTCAATCGCTGCTTTTATGTTGTCCCCAAATGAATTACAAAAAAGAAAGTGCCTGTTTACAAAGGAAAGCATACTCTTTGAAAGCAAATATTTTAAGAAAAAGATTATAGATGTTGATCTCATTTTGACTTCTCCTGCCTCAACTATGGCTTCCGGACTGGTTTATTTACACTTCCTGTGTAAGTTCTAGAGCATCTTTTGTTAAGAAGGAAATAACTTCACGATGAATGTCTCAAGATTTGCATATGATATTCTGACCAACAGAATTCAATTGGAAAGAATTAAGAACTCCAAGCTGCCAGTTCCTAACTACCTATCTGTGAAAAATAAGGTTTATTTGAAGACAAGGATCAAACTACTTATTTAAACATTAAGATTATTCATTCTCTATTATAAGCTCCGACTTCTGACACATTAGACCTATAAAGCCATCGCTTAAACATGAGATAATTGCTGGCACAATTTTGCATGCCTGGAAGAGCCCTGGAGACTTGAGAGAAGCACTGAGTGCCATCCCAGGTACTGACTGACAGAAATGAAGTCCAATCAGTGCTGTGTCTGTCGAGGCTGGAGAGGAGAGAACACGCTGTAATTACACTTCAGCACGTTAATCCCAGGTAGGCAGTGAAGTGGGCTGAGCCCAGGTCAGCTGAACCTCAGCGCCCTCTGGTGGCCAGAGGACCACACGTTCTGATGCGTCTCAAATCTATTTGAAACTCCCAAGGGGCGCATTTCAATGGGCTACTATTTAGGTTAGCACTGTTCGCAAATTAATTGGAAAGTCGGTATAGAGAGTAATTAGCCTGTAAGCGGAATTCCACATCTTATTTGCCATTTTTTGAGTGCCATTAAAAGCTCGGATTTTAAAAACTATAAGCTACCACTTGGAATGATTTTCTGAGGCTGTTGTTCCTAACGTGGATTCCCAGGCAGCCTCCAGCTTCAGACATAAGAAGGCAGATTGTGGTGAGCTGACAGCAGCATCACACCGGCCCTCAGGCAGGCAGCTCTTACCTTCTGCTTCATACTCCTCGCTGTGTTGCGTCTTCCAGTGCTAGAGAAGGCAAGAGAAAATTAGTGTGCTTTGAGGCTTAGTGAGAAAAAAGTCATGGCTTTTCCTAGAACACTCTCTGGCTCTGAAATCATCACTGGGTGAGACACATGATTTTAGGGCCTGCTACTTTCATTAAGTGGGTTCTGTTCAGCTACGCAGCTAGCCAAGAGGTAGAGAATGCCATTTTCCGCAGGGTCTCCCCAGGGATTTGTCCTTCACATTTGCGCGGTCACCTATCCAACAGGAAGCCCCATCATGGCCCATGAAGCCAAGCCCAGGCAAGCATTCAGAATCCATCAACCAACAAGGCTTTAAAGGCATGGGTTTATGACTTTGCTTTTCCAACAGATATATACAAAGTGCTCATTGTACAGAGTCTTAGTAATACATCCATGAATAGAACAAACATATTTCCTGTTTCAAGACATGTACAGGCTGAAGAAGACATGCTGAAAACAGGAACTACAACAGCGTACTGCTTTGGTATTTTTTTGGGGGGGTGTTGCTTGTTTCCTGTGCTAGACACTGAACCCAGGGTCTTATGCACGCTAGGCAAGCCCACTAATGCTGAGCCACACCCCAGCCCCAGGGTAGTGTTTTGAATGCTGTGATGGGAATATTCAGGATGCTGTGATAGTCCCTAAATGGGATACTTCAGGCTTGGCAGATCAGGGTAGGCTTCCTGGAAGAAGCAATATCTAAACTGCCCTGAGGCAAGAGCTATAGACAGCACAGTGGACAGAAGGGGGCAGTTACTATTGGCTGAAGCTAGGAAGCCAGGATGAGCCTGGGGTGCTTGTGTGAGCAGAAAGGTGCGACCCCAAAACAGGCAGGCTAAAAGCTTGAGTGAAGGGTAAGATATATTCCTAAATCACACTAAAGGAAGTGACATTATGTGAAGTAGACCAGTTGTCTCCTTGTCATGCTGTTTCTAGTGGGTCTTCTCCAACATCACAGCATGCAGTTTGTGTACTGGCAAAATCACCCAGGTAAGGACACAGGTCAGGGTGAAAACTCAGCCTTTGCTCCACTGGCCGAGTACAAGACAGATCTTCTTCCACCCAGTTGCCACAAGCAGGTCTACAAGGGCTTTGTTCTCTTGCAAATGCTTGTGCTCCTCTAGCAAGTGGCCCTGTGCTCCCACTTCCAGGAGGTTCAATAACCACTGGAGGAAATCATGTTAGAAAAGGTGAGTCCCGCTCTCAAACCTGGGCTGCAGCATTAGTGAAGATAGAACTTTACGAATGAAGCTGCCTTTGATAACGAATAACCAGCCCATTCTCTGGGATGGCTGAACTGTGAAAAACTTGTTGATTTCTTAGAATCCTGAAATAAGCTAGGCAGGACAGTTGGCCCTTGCCTGCGTCTGCAGAGCCTAGATCCCTCATGGCAGGTGGTGCGCCACCTGGAAAACTCTCAGACTGCACAGATCTTTCAGCAGATTGTTCAGATTGATTTGAAATTCTCTTTCAGGCGACCTAAGCACATCTACTTTATTCTCTACATTCCTCTGTGGTCTCTTCCATCATTTTATAGCTCCGCATCGGACCTGGAAAGATCAATGAAGTTAGCATGGATTCAGAAAGCTCACCAAAGCTGAAATCCCAAGCTGACAGTGGTGGGATGGATGATTCTTGCCATGCAGAAGACACAAAGAGGCTGTAACTCAAAATGGGTAAATGCACCTCGGTCTGTTCAGATTACACAAGGTACTGATGGAAACTGAATGAACAGGGCACCAAGTGATTTTTGCTTGTTTTTTCATGATTATAATTTCAGCAGTTCACTCAGCCTGCCTTTCTACATAAAGACATCTCCAGACTGGTGGATGGAGGAGGCATGGTGGGACAGGAGGGAGTGGTACAGTCAGCAGTCCTCGTGGATTTCCTAGCATTTCTGACCAGAATTCAACTGTTTCTATATCTACATCTATCTAGCTCATCTTTCAATCAGTAAAGTCCTACTATTAAAAGCATCCTCCCCGTCTGTCCCTCCACATATATTTCCTTATCCAACAGAGCAAAGGATTTAAATGCTCATCCTACTCTGGCATCCAAAATTGTGGATCATCCAAAATCACTCAGCATTAAACATCCAAGAATTATGATCTCTGATCAAAATAAAACCTATCAGACTACAGGCAGGGGATGACTTTTAACAGCAGGAACTGGTGGGAGAAATGGCAAGAGATCATGTTAGCTCTGAGCCCATGCCTTAGAGAGAGCCCCAGCCAGGAGATACGGCTGTTAAAATGCAACAGCAATACACACCTTCAAAAGTTCCTTGGAAATAAGTCACAACACTACAACAATGTGCTGCTACATAGAGTTGATTTTTTTTTTTTTTTTTTAACATTTGATCATCTACTTCTCAACTCATTTTAAGAGTGAGCAATGCATTGCGAGAACCAAGATGCTCCAATATACTATTCACAAGGTCTCGGGTGTCTACAGGACTGGATGTGTCTCCGATTGGCTGTCTAGGACAGTATTTGCCTGTTGCCTTCTTTCCTCAGTTCCAGTGAGAGATCGAATATGAGGCTACACCACAGACTGAGGATTCAGGATGCCTGGTGCTGAATCCTGGCTCACCTACCGGGTTGGCCTTAGGCAGGTTTCTTGACCTTTTTTGCCTCAGTTTATCCACCTCTAAAACTGGACTAAAGTAGTAGAAATTTCACAGAGGTAAGGGTAAAGTGCTAGAATTATGCCTGGAACATCATAAGCACTATAATTTTTTTTTTTTTTTTTTTTTTTGGTATGGGGGATTGAACTCAGGACCTCGCACTTGTGAGGTAGGTGCAGTGCCACTGAGCTAAATCTCCAGGCCCAAATTTTGTTATTTTTTAATAAGACATGTGTGTATGGAATACACTTTAATTTATATTTGCAGAATTTTAAAAATTACTGTGTTTAAACTGAAAGCATTCATTTAATGGATGGACTGGAGAGGGATTCACTGTTGGTATAAATTTGTAAGAAAGATGCCAAAACTATGGCAGAGGTGCAAAGAATAAACAGAAAACTCACATAAGAGGCTACAAAATTTTAAAAATTGGGGGAAAGGTTCATCTTGATATCAAAGTATAAATTAAAACCAAGGAATCATAATTGTTCTTATTAAATTAGCAAAATATTCAGGATACAACTCCTAACTACCAGCAAGATTATAGTTTAAAACAGGCCTGTTTCTCTTTTACTGGTAGCAGTGTAAATGGGTATTATTCTTTTAGTAATGAAGAGGGCTTTGTGTGTCAAAAGCAGCAGAAACGTTCATTCTCTCTGAACCACTGATTTTACTTGCTATTCAGAGGCAATAAAATCAAAGAAAGTAAGAAAAAAGCCATAAGCATAAATATGTATACAGCACTTTTTGTAACAATAAAGTATTGAAAACAAACATTCAACAATGGGGGATAAAGTATAATGATGCATCAGAATGTAGTCATTAAAAATATAATTAAAAAACTGTAGGGGCTGGGGATTTAGCTCAGTGGTTCTGGCACCTGCCTTGCAAGTGAAAAGTCCCGAGTTCTATACCTGGTACCAAAAAACAAACAAACAAACAAAAAAATGTAGGAATGTGGAAAAGCTAAAAAATAAAATGTAAAAAATTAATGTTAGATGAAAGAGTATAACAAAAATGCTGTCTACCCTGTGATTTCTGCTGGCAAAAATACACAATCAAAGTCTAGAAGGAAACAGATAAAATAGATACATTTTGGTTGAGGGCCTGTGGGACAGTTTAATTTGCTCTACTGTTACAAATGGTGCTTATATAATGTAAGTGGGCACCGCTTTCACTATTTCTTTTGCCCAACTGCCCTCAAATTCTTACAAAGTAATTCCTGTGATTGGGGGTGGGGGTGAGGGAGAAAGTTCTCTCCCTTTGGTAAGAAAGTCTCTGCAGCTTCCTTGCACCTGGGGACGGTGGCAGGTGGAGGAGGCTTGGTGGGAAGCCCAGGTACCGTGCAGGTGGGCAAATGCTCACACCAATGCCTCCAGTGCTTAGAGGGTGTGAAAAGATCTGACCCATTCATCTGAGACTCGCCTTGGGACTGAGAACCAGCCCAGGGAGGAATTCTGACACGGTTCAACCCCACAGTGACTGATGTGGAATAGCCTTTTTTTTGCGAAAAAATCTCAGTTTGGACTCATGATCCTCCTGACTCAGTAGCCAAACCTTTAAACCCCAGGCAGCACCTTAGCTTAAATGTCACCCAAATTCTTAACTCATGTGGGTGGGTATGGTTGGGTTAGGGACAACATAAACCTATTCTAAAATTTGAAGATAAATTGGGTGTGGTGGCACACACCTGCAATCCCAGCACTCTGGAGGCCAAAGGAGCAGGATAATCGTGAGTTCAAGGCCAGCCTGGGCTATAAAGTGAGTTCAAGGGCAGCCTGAACTACATAGCAAGACCTTATCTCAAAAAACAATAAAATAAAGCAGAATAAAAAAAATAAAATCTGAGGGTCAAGTGTCTCCCAAACATTCTCCCAGGATCCTTGACAAGAAATAGAGATCTAGGTAGGACCATCCTGCTAGAAGAAACACATTATGCTAATGTTCATATTTCCATTCCAAGACCACCTCAGCTGGAGATGGAGTTTAGCACCCAGATACCTCTTTGCTCTGCTTCTCTGTCCCTGGGTTCTGTTCCTTCAGTAAAGGGGAGGTAAGCACATGGCATGGGGGGAGGGGGGTGTTTATTATTAAATTGTATGGGGGGGCTGGGGGAAGATTCAATTCATTCATGGCTCATTTATTTTCATTCTCACTGCCTGGAGCCAGTTGTTCCAATTAAAAAGCCAGAGGAGAAGGAAAAGAAAGCCAGTTAGGAGGGGCGTGTGTCAGGGAGGGATTAGATCACTCTGCTACTGAAGCAGCAGCATTAAAAGGAGGCATCACTCTGGAATAGGGTCCTGTAATTGCTGCTGGTTTCCCAGCGCAGTGAAAGCTGGCAGGTGGCCTCTAGACATAGATCTGCCAGGAGTACT